CAGGCCTGTAGTTTCAGGGTCCTCCTGCTTGAAAATCGGGACAACGTTTACCAGCTTCCAGTCAGCTGGGACCTCTCCAGATTCCTAAGATCTCTCAGAAAGAGAGAAGGTTTGCAACGACATCAGCTAGTTCTTTGAGGATTCTTTGATGAATCCCATCAGGCCCCATAGATTTACAAGAAACCAGCTGGAGCAGTAGATCCCACACAAGTTCATGGTCAACTGCCTTCCAGCACAGGGCACTGAGACCCCTTGGTCTATCATCCATGTTGAAGACAGAGGAGAAGAATGCATTAAACACATTTCTGGCAGCTTCAACTCCAATTAAGCTTTGGCTGCACAAATTTTCTCCCTACAGGCAGCAGCTCCCTGGCAAGCAGCATCTCTGTATTCTTCCCATGTCACCTGGCCTTGCTTCCACTGGGCATAGACCTTCTTTTTTTGCCTTATCTCCAAGAGAAAATTCCTATTCAGCCAAGCTGACCTTCTGTCTCACCCACTTGACTTCCAGCATTGGGAAATGCCTGCTCCTGTGCAGGTGATGTTTAAGAAGTTACCAGCACTGGTGGACCCCAGCTCCTGCAATTACATTTTTCCAGGGGACCTTAATTACTAGTTCCCTGAGGAGCCTGAAGTCTGCTCTTCTCATGTCCAGGGTTGAAGTTTTGCTGGCACTTTTCCTTCCATCAGAGATTTTAAACTTGATCATTTCATGGTCACTGTGGCCAAGACAGCTACCAGTCTCCACTTTGCTCATGAGATCTGCTCTGTTGACAAGCAGCAGATCAAGGAGGGCATCTTTCCAAGTCTGCTTCCTTAGGACCTGTTCCGTAAAGTTGCCATCCAGGTTTTTTAGGAATCTCTTGGCCCAGGTTGTACCAGCTGTGTGATGCTCCCAGCTAATTTCTGGCAATTTAAAGTCCCCTAGAAGGACAGGGGCAGTTGACTTTGAAGTGTCCCTTAATTCCTCAGAGAATAATTCATTGGCATCATTGTCTTGGCTGGGAGGTCTATAGCAGACTCCCACTATGACAATGGCATTATTTGTTTGCCCCTTGATTCTTTCCCAGAGGCTCTCAACTGTGCCATTGCCAACTGTAAGCTCCATACGTTCCAGCCCCTTCATTACATACAATGTAATTGTACATACAACGCCATGCTTCCACCTCTTCTGCCCTGTCTGTCCCTCCTAAACAGCCTGTAACCATCCAGCCATGTCAAACAGCACCCCGAGGTCCTTTTCCTCCAGGCAGCTTTTCAGCCACTCTTCCTCCAGCCTGTAGTGCTGCATGGGGTTGTTGTGGCCCAAGTGAAGGACCCAGCTTTTCACCTTATCCAACCTCATACCGTTTGCCTTGGCCCATGAATCATTCTCAGACTCGCACCACAGACAGAAGAGCTAGAGCTGAAATTCACTGCTAGGACTAGACAAGGGGATACCTCTGCCCATATCAGTCCCCCCGTCTTAATCTCATCTTCTTTATTCACCTTGCAAAAATTGACAGCTGTTGGCCAATACCCACAAACACCCAAAGCCTGAGGCCTCCCTCCTCTTTCCCACCTTTCTCTGCTGCTACTAATTCTCTACAGAACCCTGCTTCAGGGAATCTACAATTCTTTTAGCACTCAGACTTATTTTTGGGCATAGTGATATTTTTTTATTATACTGTCTAGCTAGGTCATCTTGCTTGGACACAACAATTTGAAGTCTATACAGGAGAAATGTAGACTTATGGCACAGCCCATGTCTGCAAGTTGAGATCTGAAGCCTGCTTCTGGCCACTAGCCTAGTTTTGTTACTCTTATCTGTTTTGGTTTGGGGTTTTTTTTTTTGGGTGTTTTTTTTTGTTTTGTTTTGTTTTGTTTTGTTTTTTTTTTGCTATTATTCCTTTTCCTTAGCTTGCTCGTGAAGTTACGGTATAGTTATCTGCCTCATTAAGATATTTGAGTGTTCAAATATCAATCTGTCCACAAAACTTTCAAACAAGTCAAGAGATGAACTTCTGAAGTACTAGTTATACAGCAGTAATTCCAGGACAGGATTTTCATAAAGAAAAAGGCTAGCTGAGAAACAAAATGTTATACATATCCTGTTAAGTCTCAGTTCAGTTTCATTTACTCTAAGACTGATATATCATGACCACACTATGGGAACAACAGTGCCACAGCAGCACCAACATATTCTTTTGATGAATCATTTCTACATGTGTCAAAAAGCCTGAACCTTCCTTGCAAGTGTCATGCAATAACAGAAGTCACAACATTTTTTGGTTATAAACATGCACCAGAAGTCAATGAGACAAAGAAAGCAGATACTGAACAACTTGATGAGGAAAAAGAGTGACTTCATTAGTGTTAAATGTTAGAGAGAACCACAATTACCACATTATCTTCATCAGAGACATACAAGAATTTATATAAACAGGAAAGCTAGAATGTGAAGTGAGAACTTTAACTGATAGAGTTACATTGATATGACCCTTTATACGAGCATTTTTGTCTTGGCACAAAGAAGTTTTGAAAAACACTAGTTCACGGTGTGTTGGAGAGTGTCCAAGCTAAATTTAAAAAGCTGCATTAGGCCTGAACTAAGAACCCTCAAGAGGAACAGTATCAACTTAGTTGTGTTAGGTGGTTATCTGCACGGATACTGTTATACAAGCATAATTGATCAAACTTTCTTCTGCAGAATACTGTACAGCTCTTAGCACAGATTTGGTGTTTTGATAAATGTACGGGACAAAACCTACATTTGAAAAGGAAAGATTTTACTCAGTGCTTACTCTGGGAAGATGGATGCTTTGTTGCACAAATTCCTTTTCACTGCTGTCAGTTACATAGATCATTTTGTCACCCAGTTTGTTCGGTGGGTGAGTTAGGAACTACTTGCAACAACTGAGCCCATACAAATCCATGCAGTGCAGAAGCCTGTATCCAGTATGCTGAGAGAGCTGGCTGATGTCCTTGCAAGGCCACTCTCCATGATTTTTGGAAAGCCACAGAGATCAAGGATCCCTGATGACTGGAGGGAAAATAAAAACCATTCACATACAGTTTCAGAAAAAGCCCAGATAACAACCTGGAGATCACTGAGCTTATTTCTTCCATTCAAGTGGAATTTCCTGTATTTCAGCTTGAATCCATTGCCATTTGTCAGGCACCACTAGAGAAGGTCCTGGCTCTGTTGTCTTTTACACCCTGTCAGGTTATACACCTTGACAAGATCCCCCGAGACTTTTCTTCTCCAGCCTAAACACTAACTCTCATCCTCTCCCCCTTATTTCAGTCTTCCATCCTATTATCATCTCCTTGGCCTCTTGCTGGATACTCTCTAGTATGTCCATGTCTCTCTTGTACTGGGGAGCTCAGCACTGGACATGGCTTTCAGATGTGTCTCACCAGCTCAGGCTGGACCAGCAGGATCACTTCCCTCCACCTGATGGCAACACTCAGCTTGATGCAGCCCAGGAGTCTGAGTTTTTGAGGCCACAAGGGTGCACTGCTGGCAACACACTCAACTTGGTGTTCACCGGGACCTCCAGGGGCTTTTCTGCCAACATGCTTTTCAGCCATTTGGCTTGGTGCCTGGGGTTATTATTGCTCCAGGTAGAAGACTTCATATTTTCCCTTGTTGAACTCCACAAGGTTCCTGTGAGCTCATTTCTCCAGTCTCTTAAGGTCCTTCTGAATGACAGCACAGCCCTTCAGTGCATAAACAACTCTGCCCTATGAGCCAGGTTCTTAATGAAGGTTTTTAATGTGTAAGAACCTGTACTGATAGGGAGCACCAATGAAAACAAAAAAAGCTTTCGGCTAGGCTTCGACTTTTGAGCACAGCAGTTCAGCCAGCTCTCAATACACCTGCTCACCATCTACTTTACAGTCCATAACTCATCAGTTTGGGAGGATGTTACGGAGGACAGTGTTAAAAGCCTTGAAATCAAGATAAACAATATCCAGTGCTCTCCCCTCATCCACTGAGCCAGTCATGTAACTGTTAAGGCTGTCAGGTTGCCAGGCATGCCTTCCCCTTCCATAAATCTATTCTGGCTACTACTAATTACCTTATTGTTCATCTTTGGTTTCCAGGACTATTTGCTCCAGTACCTGCCCAGAGATCAAGGCAAGAAATGCTTGAAGAGGTAGGCCATACACAGATCTATGGCACACATCCATGACTGCTGAAGGAGCTGGCTGACGTCATGGTGAAGCTGTTCTTAATTATCTAAAAGGTTATAGCAATGGACAGGATTCCTGAGTGATGGAAGAAAACAAATGTCCTTCCTATCTTAAAGACAGACATGAAGAATAGGGGGATCTACAAGACAGTCTTACCTTGATCTTACCTTCTCATCCAAGGGTTATTCTTCCTTGCTGTAGCATTTTCCACTGGCCTCTGGGGCCTGCAATCCCAAAGGCTGGTTTTACCACTAGAGACCAAGGCAAAGAAGATATGAAGTACCTCAGCCTTCTCCATGTCCTTTGTCGTGTAGATTCCTGTCCTGCTTGGCAGCAGGCCCACACTTCCTCTAATATTCCATTTGCAGCTGCAACACCCGTTGTCCTCCACATCCCTTGCCAGGTTCAGCTAGGTGGATCTGCTTTGGCTTCCCTAGCCCCTTCCCTGGACATTTACACAGGATCTCTACATCCCTCACAGCAGGGGATGTACCGGCAGCCTTCCACACAGACTTTTTCATGGTGGTGCATGGCAGGAAAAACCTTCCACCCGCCCCATGCCTGCTTCATGTGTTTTTATGTCTGTTCTGTTCTCCTACAGAGCTCCCACATGCTGATCAGGAAACACAGCAGTTGGCAGAGATGTGTAACAGCGCTCGGATGCACGTTATCACTTGATCAGCAATGCAAACCCATTCCCAGAGTAACTTCTGTACTAGAGCACACATTGAGACAACTCAGTAGTTGTGCCTGCTACCTGAATGGGGTGCTCAGGCATTTGGATTTTGACCAACCTCTAATATTAAAGAATAGACTGACAATTTTTAATCGGCCATTTTTTATTGAGAGTTAAGATCATGTTTCCCCATGGTGCACAGGATGCACGATGAAAACAAAATACAGAAGATCACTTTAGTAAATACACACTGGTTAAGCAATGCTACTTTTTGGCAAAGTGCTATATTTTGTCTGTTTTCAGCTTGTGTTAAACTATTAAAAATAAGAGCCAGACATTCTTCCATATCAAAAGGACTGCTACAAATAGAGAAGTGGCTCTGGAGAGAAGCTGCCATATATGCATAGACTGATGTACAGTATTAATCCTAACTGAAATGTCCCTTTTGAATCTTCAAGTTTGCTGCGTAGAAGGCACAGTTTAAAATGCAAATCTGTCCATTGACCAATACGTGTGAAAATACAATTTCAGCAAAATTCATGAATATCAATCAGTATCAGACAGTGCAAGGCCTCCACTTTTACAAGAAAAAAACCCCACACTTTAATACAACTTAAAAAACCATATAAAAAGCCACACAGCTCACTATTAAAACAGAAAACCAAAACAAATCTAATTGCCCAATAGCTCCAGGCACAAAACAGGGCTAGACCAACATAAATATGTAAAACAAATTAACAAAAAGCCATTGATGCAGTACTATCTCACACAATAATATGGTTTCCAATACTACAAATTGAGAAGCACAGCTTTGTGCAACAAAATAGTTTATATCCTGAAAGATATAGGTTTTCATCACCAGAAAGTCATCTAGTAATGTAGTATAAAAAGATCAGTATCTCCCAATTCTAGGAGCAGTCTAAAGTTGCATTTATTTGCCTACTGAGAAGAACAGACCAAGGCTCTCATTGTAATGCCTGGGAGCCTTATGCCCTCAACTCCATCTCCCTGTTAAGAGCTAAGGGATTACTTACTCCTTCCAACATAGGGAGGTGGAGACTCCATCTTCCTTCATTTCACTTTAAGAAAATTAAAGCTGAAGGAAAGTATTTACCTTATATAAAGAAAAGTAATACAGGAAAGCAAAGAATTTTCCTGAGCTAGAAAGTTGGCAGTGAGGAGACGAAAGTTTAAGCCAGACAAAAAGCTGGAGTGATAAAGGTAGATAATCTGAGGGCATGTAAGAGTACTTGTGAACAGGTAAGAGACTGGTGAAACTACAGCTATCTGCAGATAAACCAGAGTATTTGGACCAGAACAGAATTGTTGTATAGACATGGGCACATACTGCTGAAAAGAACAGTAACAAAATTTCTGTTTTGGAAACTCACGATGCGACTAATTTTATTTTCTTTCAGTGTCCATGTGAATTCAATGTGTAAAAAAAAAAAGACTAGTGTGTCCAGGAAAGCACCTCTTGCTTTTATACATTTAACTACTTTTCAACATCCCTTTGCAACACTCCTAACTAGTTTCAGTGAAGCAGCACATCTGCAGTGAAACAGAGGTTATAAATGCTGTTTCCTGTATGCCAAGTACACTACACTATATTCCACTACAATTCCAGCTGCAGAATGTACAACAGTACCACTATATCAAGGTCAATCTGAATTGTTGGGGTTTTGCTTCAGTGAAATTGAAGCATTTGGCTGAATTTAAAATACTTCATAGGTCTGGAATACTTCACATTATCGACCTCACCTGATTTCAAAGACTCCCCATGTGACTCCTTATACCAACTTCTGTATAAGGACTACTGGAAGACACAGTTGAGTGTAATGTTAACACTTTAATGCCCTAGGCACTAAACACAAGGGAAAACACAGTAAGTCACATTAAGCACTGAAAGAAAGGAGGATAAACTTACTTATCATTCCCCCCTTCAGTCAGTGCAGATTTCTGCTTCCTCACCTCATTTAATCCACTTCCCAGACTGATCAGGGTTCAGCACGCTGTATGGCTGCTGTGGAACACAGTTTTTTTTTTTTACAGGTGAACTTTACTTCACCTGTAGTTGTAGTTAGCAGTGCCTGCCAACTTCCAAAACATCTTGCAAAGTGTTCTTAAGAAAACTACTTGTTAGTTTTCAATGGCTTTTCTTTCTTGTTGGCCCCAGTCCTGCCTCCAATGGGCTAGGAGAACCACCACTGCTGATCAATATTTACACACCCTGTTATCGCTGTGTTTAGTTCTCTAAGACTGTTTTTCAGCATCTGCTTCTCCCTGCCTCACACTGCCCTTCATTTCAAGTCCCCATTAACTTGGACTTCATTTTATAGAAAGAAAGAGAGAAAATTAGGAGAACTTCTAATGAAAGCCTCCTTCTAGCTATTTTTGGGCTACTCTCAATCTGTAAATATCAAAACAATCTAACAGCAACTTGTAGCTCAGAAATAGCTGTCCATCAGCAGTCAGCTACTGATGGGACTAAAAGAACAGTCAAGCCACCATCTTTTTTCTTTAACTAGACTAGAGATTAAATGAGATAGGGTAGGGGAAATACATGTATCAAAGACAGAAATAGTTAGAGAAAGGAGTAAGAACTCAAACTGTACCAAGTAAAATCCAGTTCAGTTCTCTGTGTTGTGCATCTGCACTTTACCCTAGGTCCACTTATCTTTCCACTCCACTGTGAGGTACTACATCTGTAACACCGGTGCCATATCATACTGCAACAATACTGGGGGGACATTTAACCCTCTTCCAATATCCATATCAAGTACCCAACACACCTGCACAGACTCCACTAACACAAGTAGGTACTAGGCAATTTAGATGAGATGCCCTTCTTGCAACAGCTCAGCACAGCTATGTAATATCCACTGGCAGCTATAGAATTTCCTCGTTAGAAAGTAATCATATATGCTGAATACAGACAGATACACAAGCTGTCAAGTACTGGTCATTAAAGCATACGGCTAACCTCAATTTTTCTAACTCCATTTTGATTAATGCAAAATGTAACTGATTTCCATCTCAGTTAAGTTTCTTTAAAATACTAACTAAGAACCCATCTATACATCATAGTTTATAAAACAGCACACAAACTATCATACTGATAGGCTTCCAAAACATTGATATTTAACATCAACATTCATAACTCGCTGCAAGACGTTTGGAGATTTATGTGTCTTTTCAAAACAATGCAACACTAGTTATGATTGTGTTTGAGGGATTGACAATCAGCTTCAGATTGACTACACTTACCTACACATGAAAACAAGAGCAACCTAAAAAACAATTAGACCATAGATTAAAACCACAAGAACCATCAGTAATTGAACTGACGCTGGCAAGGCTGGTGAACAAACAGTCCGTTGTGCTTGATTTGCCGAGAGTGGCAATCCCTGGTAAGATTTTGGCGACGGAGACTGTTTCTGTTGAGACAGTGTCTTTCATTATGTTCTTTTATCCAGTGGGTAGGACGAAAGCTCTTGTTTTTTTCCAGAAAAGTTGAACGAGTAGCAAGAGCCGTGACATAGCAGTGAACACGCTGTCCTGTTTCATTTCGGGCCTCCAGTCTAGAAATGTAACAACAGATATCAGTCATTAAGGAGGTACACTCGAGAGACAAGTAAAATAAAGGGTAGAACGTGGAGATCAACACCTAGCATTTCAAAAGGGCACCCTTATTCTACTGGACATAGATTTGGGCTGAGGCAAGGTCAAGCCACTTACCACGCTGGTAAGTAATGAGTAGTGCTGCCAATTCACTTTCTGTGTGAGGGCTCCACAACAGCCTTTGGACTTCCACCATCTTACACTATCGTGCTCCTCCTTACCCACCCCAGCTCCCTAAGCCCGAGATGCAATACACATCAGGAACACAAGGCAATGTGTGTCACACTGCTCCAGCTTTAGAAGACTTGGAGTTATCCATCAGGCAAAGTTTGGTTTTAAATCATCTTGAACATAGGTGGTTCAGTCTGAAAACAGAAGCACACTAATGAAAGTGCATTTCAACTGCCAGCCACGCAAGTAAATCCAAACAATGTTCATGCAGAGGAATGGGAAAGATAGATCAGTTGTGACACACACAGGAAATAACTTAGAAGGATTGTTCCTCAACCAGCCCTCTAAATTTCATGAGCAGAGAGTCAGCAGTTTTGGCAAACCCTTCCTTCATCATGCAATAGTGAAAAACAAACCAGCAGCCTATGCAAGCAGGGACTGACATATTGAAAAAGGACTTCCCTACTTGACAGAACAATCACTGGCACTTCCTGAAACTTCAAAAGTAAAGTTAAAAATAGCCTGGCCATTTTAGCAAAGCAAAACCCAAATCTGAGTGCTACAGCTGGTGCAAGACCAGTGGCATCAGAGCTGCTTGCCTTCTCTCTTCCCACCCAGGACCCAACAACCAGCTGTCAACTGGCGAGTGTGCTCAGGAAAGATGTCTGCAAGACCGGGAACTTGCTCAGGCATGAGCAAGAGGTCTCTTGGGAAGTCTGTTTTTCAGCACTACCATGACTCTTCTGGAAGGGCTTAAATTGCATTTATTGTATGCAGTCTCTGTAGATGTAAATCGGGTCTGCCATGTCCATGGTATGCCCTTTGCAGCCTTACTCTTGGGGGGCTGACACAGAAGTGATCTCTTCTGCCTCCCACCACTCCACACTGGAGGGAATTACTCCTTGTCAGCAAGGGAATACTCCATGCCTTCTACCTTTTTTTTTTTTATCTTAAATATCCTAATCTTGCTTTTAGATCCTTGGGTAGCTAGATATGACTGACTGAAGGCTAGACACAGCAGAACAGCCAAATATGCCATGCTGATTTTCCCATTTATTCACTGGATATTGTCCTAAACCTAGCACTTAAAATATCAAGCAAGAAATAAGTGAATAACACAGCACCAATCAATTCACAGTGCACTGTAAATATGTTCTATGCGGATTACACCAGTTTAATATAGATGAGGGTACCTGCAAATATGGGGCTACTATTTTCTATATGGGGCGATCCCTTAGCACAATCAACAGTGCAGGAGGTGGAACTTCAAGCGAAGCTGTTCTGGGGAAAGCTGTAAGGAGCCAGGAAGCCACAGCACAATTATTGCAACCCGTATTTCCTAAGCAAACTCTTAAACTAGCAAAGGGCAGCAACTGCTAATACAAACTGTTGTGGTTTTGTTATGGAAAAATATGACTAATCTGACAAACAGGGGGAAGTTTATACAACATCCTTTTGCTTTGAAAGGAATTTAAAATGAGAAAATAGATTTCCTCCACAAAAGGAGAAAAACTGGTTTAAAGTTGCAGGTGGAAGATACTTAAGCTTATCAAATACCCTTCCAGCACTGGTTTGCAAACCAACACTCTTCTATTTGTCAACATAAAGTGAAACTGGGATAGCACAGGTGGTTTGAATTGGCTAAAAGGCCACACACTCTTCCAAAATGTAGCATTTTGGTACCTTAGTTGCCTTTGGTAGCCTGGCACTAGCAAGCCCTATGCACTGAGAGAATAGGGCAGACAAGTCTCCATTGATATTGTCAAAATAGAGTTTTAGAGGGGCTGTGTCTTAAGCCAGACCATCACTATATACATTCACTGCTGCACTCCCACCATCTATTCTGCTAGAAAGCAGAAGTGTTCTGCTAATTGCACTATAGAGCCAGACCTCACAAGAAACATTAAAGGCTTCAGACCCCACCCCAATTAATATTTCAGTAATTTTTCTGCACTTAGCATTTTGGCTTGTTAAAGCAGATGTAGTTAGGCTTGATCAAGTAACATCATTTGGCACAAAGGTTAGTCCTAAAACCAGTATTGCTTTGGCAGACAAGGCTCTAGAGGAAGCAGTGTTGCTAGCAGCCTGATCAAACAAAAAGCACTGTCCCAAAACAGTAGTACTTACTGTGCCAGTGTGCCTTAAGCAGCTTTTCTTGGCCCTATAATGTTAAATGGCCAACCATTAAACCACTAGAGACTTCAAAACAGCTTTTGAAACTTACTGCAAAATCAGTGTAATCAATGTTCCCAGTTTCTGCAGTCTACCTCAGCTTTAGACTTGTCCCAGTTCTGCCACCCAAAGTAACCAATATAAGAGCCTAGATCTTCTGACAAAGCAACAGCACAGAATTCAGTGTGAAGAAACTTAATTACATGCCAGCTGAAGATCATCATACCTTTAGCTTCCCCCCACATTAAAGCAGCTTAACTGTACTGTACGAGACAGGATTATTCTCCAGAAGAATTTATACCAGTATCCCTAGTTCAAGTCACTGAAAAGTCAGTATCCAACTTTGAGTGTTACACTGCAAATTGGTATTTTAGATAAACTGGTTTACTGTCTTTTTCCAGGGCATGACTTGCAGCCTCCAGTTCTTCTGCAGATTACTTCAGACCCTCACTTTAAAGGTGCTGTGTGCTCATAGTTTCTCCCTGTTTAAGTTAAGCTAGACCCCTGATGCTTAACATCATAAACTGCCCTCCCCAATTATACAAATCCTCCACCCAAAGACCAATAGTATCAGCACTACACTTCAATATTATACAGCAGCACATCATCTCAAAGTCATATGTTTCTTTGAACTAAGAACTTAAAATACAGCAAGGAGCTGATCAGAGACGTCAATAGGCATCTACCTGCAGCAACTTCACCCTACACTCATTTCTTCCTGTATATCAAAACTTAGTATACTATAATATTTTCTCTTTTTATTTTTCTCTGTTTGTTTTGCTCTCTTTTTTATTATTGCTTCTAGACATAAGCAAAAATAAGCTGGGATGAAGAGTCAGTCTTTGTTATTAACTGGGATTCACAAAACACCCAATTATTTCAAAATCAATGAATGCATGGGCACATGAGGGGTCATAATGGCAAAGAAACAGTATTTGTATACATCTACGTATACTATATTTGTATAGCTGTACACACAAACACCAAAGAAGCAGTGCATGACAAACATGCCTCTGCAATAACCCCACATGGTCAGATTTTTAGGACCCAAAAAGTACAACTTCTTACTTTGCTAAAAGCAGAAGTTCACAGCACAAAGTTTTGTGAAATATTCTGGGTTGCTTTTGTTTCACAAGCTGCTTGTGGAAAAATTTAATCCTATCCTTATCTATCACTATGTTGAGGAACAAAAAAAACACCCAAAAAAACCAAAAAACCCACCCAAAACCCAAGCCCCTAGATTTCATCTCACAAGGTGACTGAATAGGTATTAATCAGCAGTTATGAAAGAAACATAGAGCTGTGAAGGGGGCAAAGTGCTTTCATATGTACATTACTGGATATACAGTGAACTGCCAGCAGTTTCAACACGACTGGGACATATTCTGCAAGGGAGTAATTAGGCTCCATCAATATTCATTGTAGTATCAAAATAGCATACCCAGCTGTTTCCAGACACAGTCATCTTGTATTAACATTTTTCTAAGCAGGCAGGCAGCCCTGACCACCTTATGTAGTATTCATGCTTTATTCACCTGCTCTGAAATACGCTGGAAAATTCAGTATTAAGTGTCTAAGTTGATCAAGTAGAAACCAGATATTTTCAGGAACAGAGCTGCTTGACAAAGAATTCACACATACCTGGGACTACCTGGGCTGTGAAACTCCTCATCTCCACATCCAGTCTCATTAAGGCTGTGACAGGCATTATGGACAGCATACACAGACATGCTGGGATGCTCTATTAGGAGGTTCTCCATCGGACTGGTTTCCACCTTGATAGTGGTCAATCCACCTGCAGTAAAACATGGGGGAGGGGTAATAAACCAGCTCTCCTCCATAGGACATGACTCAAACTGGATGAAGCAAGACTCGCTGGCCTCCGGCAAGTGTTCCAAGGGAGACGATAAACAAGAGAAGACGGGTGAGCCATCCGTGGCTGATTCTTCAACAATGTCTGCTTCCTCCACAGAACAATTAGTGCAAGTGTCTGCTGTAGGTGACCATTAGTCAGTGGAGAGGAACCCATGGATGTTGGTGATCACAGGAGGTCAAAAACAACAAGGTTGCACGTAGTCAAAAACAGAATATGAAAAGAAAAAAAAACAACAAGAAAAAAACAGAAATAAACCTCTTATTAGCACATACGCAAGTTTTTACTTTATAAAGCAAGAGAGGAAAAAAGGCAAGCCATGTTAGACATGTGAAGCAACTGTTATCAGTAAAGCTATATAATTGCGTAATAAGTCAAATATACTTTATCTGTACAGGTGGTTCTGCTGAATCTGTGTCAGGCTTATAAACCTGACATCATTCTTCTCACCAGTTTACTCAACATATTTTAGTACATTTGTTTGGAAGACACCCTATACTCTAATCCCACACTGGTTTTACTTAGATAAAGGTTCTCCAAGCTACTGGTTTGTTCACCTGGAAGTAAGACAAACAAAAGCCAGAGCATGACAAAGGCAGAGCTTATGTCTGACAGACATCTTACCTATAAAGTCAACTAGAATCCACTCGTCGTCTTCTTTCTCACTGAACTCTGGCTCTTGGCTGGACAAGCTATCAATCTCTCCCATGAGCATGTTATTTAACCTCTGAAACATTACTAAGGCAGGAACAAGACTTTGGCTGGTAGGTCGTTACATCCAAGGTTCAAGGCACAGCTAACACTGTACTAGCAGAGTGGCACAGACTTGAGATTAAAGTGCATAGATGCTTTATCAGCTTAGGTATGGGACATGCAGAGGCATGACTTGTAAAGAGTTTATGTGAACCTGCAAAAAATGATGACAAGGGTCTTAATGACAAAGCAACAGGTAACAACCCCGGGGGAACAAGTTAAAAGCCCCCTTGCTAGTGTAGTCGGAGCTACCAGTGAATATTTTCCTCAAAGAGGAGAGGCAGGTTCACTGGTATTCACAATCCCCTCCCAGCTAGATATGTATAAAAAAACCCAAACAAAACACCAAAAACCAACAACACCAAAAAGGTCTCCCGTGGGAGCTGATTGCCTTCCCCTCAATCCTCCTCCCCATGGAAAGGTCTGTTCAGTTGTCAGTCTCACCTTCTCCTAAGAGAGGGGAGGACTCTTGTACAGGAGCCTTGTGTCTATGCTCACCAAGGTGCTCTCCCAGCTCCCTGCCTGTCTTCCTCTGGGTCAGAGGGGGATGTGAAGGGCAAGTGCATATTTTCTGCTCCAGACAACTCATCTCCTTTGTTGACAAAGAAGAGCCCCTGTGAGGGCTCTCAAGGAAGCTTAAGGCAATGTTTCTTCTCTCTCCCATCACACTCAGTTCAGGGCCACTGCCTACAAGTTAACAAAGTAGGAAGGCACATCCTGTCTTCAGGTTCAAAGTGCACCGGTTACCAGTGGGATCGTTTTCACAGCAACCACCCAACTAGTCACGTATGGTAAGTCTAAGGAGCATGGAAAAGTATCATGTATGCTAACTAAACCCAATGTTTATTTCTTAATACATTTCCCTAAATCTACATGTAACTGGTCACCATAAGCCTGAACTCTGCATTTGGCAATTAAGATGAAAAATCCCATTAGTACCAAGAAGCTGAATGTTCAAACACCTCAGATCAGCATGCTTACAGCCTTTGATATTTATAAATGAGCCAATAAGGAGAAGCCATTAAAGTAGCTAAAAAAGTGAAGACTATGGGAAATATATCCACTGATTTCACTACAAGTTAATTTTGCCATAGTAATATTTGAATCATCACAGCATGTCAGAATCATTACAGATTAAATACCTGTTTGATAATTTAACAGAGAAGAATATATGCAGGTAAGACAGTATGACTGCCTGCATTCAGAAAGAGAGAGAAAAACACACTACACTAGACAAACTCAACCATTAAAAGAAGATACAACCCATTAAGATTATTATTTAAGGCCAGTAATCCCTCTGTCACCCTAGAACTTTCAGGCCACACTAAAGGGTCATTTGGGCCTCCTATGTCATCTTATCCCAGGACACCAGACCCCATCACCTACTTTTTCAATGCAAGGACAAGCACCTGCTCCATACAGTACTGCTTCTGTACACATTTATGCAGCTTCCTCCTTATTCAAATAGCACAAAAGAATAGGAGTAGAATTTAAAGTAGTCTTCAGCAGCAATATGGAAAGGTACAGCAAAACTCAAGAAGTTATGCACACTAGTTCCTCAACAGAAACTATCAACTACAGGAAAAAACAAGACCAGAAACAACTGGCTCAGCTGCAGTTGTGAAAAAAGTCTATTTTTAAGGACCACACTTAAAAATGAAACGTCAGGGCTCTCTTTATGACAGCTACAAAAATGATCAGAAGTCTAAAGAAAACTGATAAAATTTTAAAAATGGAAAGGCTTAACAGAGGGAAGGCAAAAATTACAACAGTACTAAATTATATGAAGAAAGAGGTAAACATTTATTGCCACCTTCTACACTCAGAGCAAGCAGAAGTGACTTTAAACTGCAGTAAAGTTCAGCTTTCAGTGGTTACTGACAGGAAACACTTTTAACCATTAAGGTTGCTAAGCCCTGGATGGGTTACCTAAGGAAATGCCAAATGCCCACAGTGTTCCTAAGCACCTTCTTGAGAAGGTTTGAGTGCTTCAATTATAGGCAGAGCTTACCACGGATACGGAAATGAACTCTGAGTGAATGCCTGAAGTCTGTAGCTTTCCAGCTACCTTCCACTTCTTTCCCTAACACTCTCCTGGCACAAGGCCTATGAAGAAAAGAGTTTGGTTTTTTTTAGGCTAACTAGCAAGCCACCGCACAGCTGCTGATCAGCACTGGCTTTCCCTGTACTCCCACACACATGTGCTGCCTCCTTCCTAGATCAAGCCTGAAGGTACCTTCAGGCAGAGGCCGTCTTTTTGTTGTTGCAGAGTGTAGAAAGATGAGAGCTGACACTCCTATATTAAGTCTCGAGGCATCACAGCAGCATCAAGTAATTAGCTTCTAACAAGCAGAGATCACTGTTCCTGAGAACATAAGCTAAACAAACATCAGCTTTTGACCCACAACTGTCTTTCTATAGATCAAAAGCAGTTTGCCCTATTTTCCCCTTCCCCCACCCCAAGGAGGATCCAAAAAAACATCTGAATCATTCAGATACCGGTTGATGTTTTGACATCCTTTTGGACAAGTGCCTTTAAAAAGGCCACGCTCATGTGCTATTGTGCAAGTCAGAAGGCGACCAAGAAGTTACACTGTTATCCAGGGCCACCGTTCGGGGAGGAAAACGGGACAGAGACCGAGAGAGATTTTCAAGTTCTTAGGCAGGAACTATCAGCTGCACGAAAACATAAGGCTGGGAAGAACTGAGTCAGCTGTAGCAATGATTAAGAGGCTGTTACAGATAACATATCCAATGAATGGCAACAATAAAGTATCGCCGCACTAAAAAGAAGTATTTTTTTCCTTTTTTTTCCTAACCTAACAAAGGAGATGCGGTACGTGCTAAGCAAAAATCAAACAAAACCCAAAAATGACATCCGCAAGTCACTGTGCAGTTCTCTGCCAGAGCGAGCCGATCCCTGATCCCCCCGTGCCCCACCTCACAGCTCTTCCACCACCACCAGGAGGCTCCAAAAAGCCGCTCCGAGCGGCGCCGGGGGTGACCCGGCAGCGCCCACAGCAGCTGCGCACCTTCCCGGCCGCGCTCCGGGGCTGGCCGGGAGGCACGGGAGGCACGGAAGGCACTGCCGCTGCTCCACAGCCGGGAAAACGCCAAACACTTCCCGGCCCCGGCGCCTTCCCGGCAGAGAGAAGCCGGGATGGACGCACAGGGAAACGGGAGCTCCGCTGTTGCTACTGGTTTTCAGCGCTCAGAGCGCAGGACACCATCACAGCCGGGTCAGCGGCAGTGCCCGGTGCCCGCGGCGCCCCCACAGCGAACTCACCGGACCGCAGCTCCCCCGCTCCGCGTCCCCGGCGCCTCCGGAGCCCTTTGTTGTCACGGCCGCGGCGCCGCTGACGGACCGGCCGCCGGCCACGCCCCCCGCGCCTCCGCCAATGGGCGCCGCCACCGCCTGTCGCTAACGCACGTGACGGGCGGGTGGGCAGCGGAGGGGGCGGGGCCAGCCCGCCCAGACCCGCCCTCCGCCCGCCCGGCCCCGCCCCCGCGCTGAGGGCTCGGGATGGAAGGGACTCTAAAGATCCCCCCCATTCCAAGCCTTGCCCTGGGCAGGGACACCTTCCACTAGACCAGGCTGCTCAGAGCTCCTTTCAACATAAACATGTCCAGCAATGGGGCATCCACAGCTTCTCTGGGTAACCCGTTCCAGTGCCTTGCTACCCTCATTGTGAAAATCTAGAAGGTCTCCTTGGAGCCTTCTCCAGGCTGAACGACCCCAGCTCTCTCACACTTTCCTCACAGGAAGTGTTCCATCCTACTAATCCTCTTGGTGTCCCTCCCCTGGAGCCACTCCAACAGGTCACAGAATGACAGAATTGGTCAGGTTGGAAGGGACCACAATGGGGCATCTGGTCCAACCCCTTGGCTCAAGCAGGTCATCCTAGAGCACATGGCACAGGATTGCATCCAGACAGTTCTTGAATATCTCCAGTTAGGGAGACTCCACAACCTCTCCGAGCAATCTATTCCATTGTGTGGTCACCTGCACAGTAAAGAAGTTCTTCCTCATGTTCAGGTGGAACTTCCCGTGCATCAGTTTCTGCCCTTAGCCCCTTGTCCTATTGCTTGGCACCACGAGTAGAGCCTGGGTCCTTCCTCTTGACACCCTCCCTTCAGATACTTACAGACATTGATGAGATTCCCTCTCAGCTGTCTCTTTCTGAGGTTGAACAGGCCCAGTTGCCTCAGCTTGTCCTCGTAACAGAGATGATCCAGTCCCTTGATCAACTTTGTAGCTCTCTGCTGGACTTTCTCCAGGAGTTCCATATCTCTCTTATGAGGTTCATGTCCTTCCTGTTCTGAGGACTGGACGCAGCACTCCAGGTAGGGTCTCACAGGAGCAGAATAGAGGAAAAGAATCACCTCCCTCAACATTTGTAAGGCTGAAGCACCTTAATTGGGCTGTAAAGTTTCCAAGTCACACACCTGAAGCCCTAGAAAACTTGTGCATTAGGTCACTTACCCCCTTCTTTTCTTTTACGAAAAAAGAAGAGGCAATGAATGTAAATGCAGCACTTTTCCTTTTAGCTGCACATCTCTCTGAAAGGAATTTCCAGGCAGTGAAGTTACTGCCCAGGAGAGCTGGTGTGGCCGTGCTGCACACCTTCAGTCACTTAATACAACTCTGAATATATCAGACAGCTAATAGTCGCTTCAGACTGCAGTGAACGCTGGCCAGGCAAATATCTGCGTCCTTCAGAAGATGGTGAAATGAATCAGTGATGTCTAGCCATAACAATTAAGGATTTTTCATGGTTTCAGTAGTGCCGAGGAATAACTTATTGCAAAAAAATAACATTTTGTACTAAAATACAAGGTGTGCAGCATGAGAGTGTTATGGTTGCTGGAGTCCAGATAAACCTCTTGAGCTTTTAACCTCAGTGTTAAAATTATCTTTTTTTGTCCACTTTTTTTCTCTCTTTCTTTAGTGTTTCTTCTTTATTTTCTTGTAAGGACAAAGCTTTTCTATGTAAAACAAAATAGGGAAAGTAAATTTTGGAAAAACGCTGCAAAGTGCCTTCCTATTGGCTGGGAATAGGCTATGTAAGTTGACCGAGAAACTGCCTAGCTGTACAGTCTGCAATATTTTTGCAAAAACTTCCAATGTTTGGTATTTGATGATACTTTTCTAGGCTGAACTAATCTTTCCTGAATTATGAGATCAACTTTATTTTTACAATTACAGCATTATCAAGGGGCATAAACTGATTGTATGTTTGATTGAACTTTCAGTTTATAAGTTGAAACAACAAACAAGAACAACTACAAAGTCTCTCTTTTCAATGATAGTGGCTCCAGCATAGAAAGGGGAGGGGAGATGGCAGAAGCAGCGCATGTCTGCAAATTCAAGATAGGCGACAGAAAATTAAATGTGTAGAATAAATGCCCCAAAGGATTAATCTGTATTGCAAAACTACATTGTGTTAGAGCACGTTAATTAAGGCAATACAAACCACTTAGTGTAGACAAGAACTGTCATGTTTGGCAGCTGGGTTACCTCAGGTCAACAACAACAAAAAATGTTAAAGTGGTAGTCTTTGTTTATACTGACTGTTATATTAAGCACTACGTGTTAATCAATTAACATAATGTATTTTTCCAGTATAGGCAAGCCCTAGGAAAGCTTGGGTTGTATTTGAGACACAGACTTCTCATGAAATTAAAAAGTCACTCTTTATATTTTTGAAAGTCCCCTGAGGAGTAATTGAAGGGATAGAACCTCTCCTCTTTCTGTAGTGTTGCTCTCAATATCTTTCTTTTTCATCTCACTTATTTCTTAATTCTCTATCATCACAAAATGGTGGAAACAATGAACTTGCTTATTTTTTCCTCCAAATAACGTTGGCAGGAAAAGTTAGATCTAAAAGCTACCCCTCTTCTCAGCCTGGCAACCAGCATGCTTTTGTTCCATATCTGACTAGCACTTAGGTATATAAATTGTTTACAATGAAATAAATTATGTGTGTGGACTCAAATACCTGCTGACCAAGAGCCCAGGTATTTCATCCTGCACTTACTGAGGTCAATGATAAATTTTCTGGTGATTGTCGTGGTGGGGGTTGTGGCTTTATCCAAAGTCTTTCAAATCAATTAGCCTTTCTATCAATTCTAATGGTTGTTAGATCAGGCCCTCAGACAGCAAAAAAAATACAGTAAGTCTGGGGCTTGCTAGATGCAAAAGCTGAGTCAGAAACTGGCCTTCCCTTGAGGAATTTGACTCTTATATTTGTATTCCAGAAAAATATTCTGAAAAGATCTCTGGAGCAAGGGAACCATTCATATTTCCAATAATACATGACCTTGCATGATTCTGAATTTATTGGTAGGAGTTAGTGGAGTGTCCATTGTGCTGTGTGCTCAGTGGCAGCTTAATGGCACAGCCATTGCTGCTCTATGTGTCCTGGGAACAGTAAACGACTGTGCAGCAGTACTCTGTTATTTGTATTGATTTTTCAAGATCCTACACATTAATGCAAGGCATGACCTATTGTCCAGGTTCCCACTGCGATGAAATACTACAGCAGTATTTAGCAGGCACAATATATGTCTAGCCGTGGAGTACAGAGTGACCTTCCTACCACAAGACTTGCGAGTTACAATGAGTGCATTGAGCTTGTAACAAAGCACTGCCATGTGTTGTGCCTCTTGGAGAGGCCCTATTCTGCAGACATGCCTGTTTAAATGGTAGGTGAGAATACAGATCTATCTCTGTACTGGAAACACTGAGTAGCAGGAGGGAGAACCACACCAAACAGAACTTGCACAGATTGAAAAAATAAACTCCCTCTAGACTTTGGACAAGATATATCCTCCAGATAAAGATAAATAAAAATACTTTCCAAACAATATGTAACAAACAGCTTGGTATCACTCTGAGTGATTTGTGCAAACACATCCATCATGCCCACGTGGAAAGCACCTGGCATATCTGTACAGGAACCTCCACACCATTCACCTTTGCTGACATGTGTCATTGGTTTAAGGGCAGTGCAGCACAGCTACCAAAACCAAAGTTTCAGTTTAATGTTCAGTTAAAACCCGATGCCCTCAACCTAACCCTGATTAAGACAAAGTCTAAAGCCTTCGGCTCCATGGCTTCCATCTGGCTGTGGCAGAAAGCCCTGTGCTGTATAGGAAGAGATTCTGTGTGATTCTGAAAGGTCACCGCTGTCAGATAGAGTTTGGTCTGTCCTACTGAATACGTTATGAAGAAAAATCTGGGGTTTATAATTTTAAAAATATCTCAAGTTTATGAATAACCACAATGAAATACTGTTGTGTTGGCTTGGTTTTTCTTTTCCTATGGAAAAGACACTAGCCGCTGTTCAAAAAAGCCCAAGCTTTTCTGTCCAAAGTTAGGTACAAACACTTCAAACCTGCTGTTTAAAGCATGAATAGCCTGAAGAGATCCAAGCTTAAAAATGCACAGTCTAACATTTATGTCCTTGTACAAATGTCAATCCCATTTTTTAAGTGGACTTCTAGATTTAAATATCAATCCCAACTAAAACAGGCACTTCCTTTACTGCACTTCTTCCCCTGACTTAAGTTAGTGCAAAGATTTCTGCAACATTGGCTTCAAGATGACAGATTGATTGCTTCTGCTGTAAGTCACAAGTTTCTAATGCTATTTTCCCAAACAGCGAGTTACAATTTTGAGTAAGAGCAGGCCTTTCCAGACTTTTATGCAAAACAGGTGTTAGAGACCTGTTTCTTGTATTTCTAGAGCATGAATTCAGCGAATTCAAGAATCCAATTTTGACATGACTAGGAGCCTCATGATTTGGCTGAGCAAGATCCAAGGAGGCAGAAATTACTGGATATGATCCTCTAAACCAGACTGAAAAAGTTGAGGGATTTCATTTTCTGTGGAAGAACTATTACCTTAAAACATCCAACCTGTTGTTCTTTTCAGCAGAGTGCTGGTTAGAAAAAACCTCTTTTTCCTTTGAAACTGTCAAAACACAAATCCTGCTTTTCGTATTGTTTGAGAGCAAAACCAGGTATAACTCTGTCTTCAAATTGCCATTGGCAGGAAGCCATTGTAAATCACAGCCAGACTGAAAAAATAATGGTAAGTTTTAGCCACACTTTGAGCTCTTTTCCTCCACTTTGTCAAAATAAAAATCCTCTCAGAAGTCAGTATAGATTCTGATGGTCTGAATAGCTCTGCTTTTTTCTAGAGCACCTTCAGTGGCAGCATGTGAATTGTTAGCTCGGGCTGGAGCATGCCAGGCATCTCAGCAGGTAGTGCCAGCCAGCAAGGAGCCAGGGACAGATGCCTTGTCTTGTGTCATTATGTGCATGATTTTTCTACTGAGCCCAGAGGCATTCATCAAACATTTTCCAACAAGATTTTCTGTCCTCTCTCATATTTGTCTCTTGTACTAGGAGAAGTCCAGCATATTTTCACTATTCTAGCCTGAACCTGTCCTCTCCTTCAGTACTCAGTAAGAAAAGACTCTATTTTACCTCTGGGTACAGCCAGGAATCACGATCTTCACTGTTCTCTTCTTTGCCATGTGATTAGAGAGCCTTTCCACAAGCACACCTCCCTCCTACACAGCCAAGCATAGCGTTCTTAACATCTGAAAGGGAAATGACCCATGAGTTTTTTACTATGGCATTGAACGTGCATTTGTTACATTTATGAAATTCCCGCATGCTTCAGATGTTGACAGATTATTACCATGGTTATTAACCCTTCATCTTTTTTGTTCTTCGTTCCAATGGTGATGTTAGGATGATAGGCACCCCACAGCCAACATATAGGCAAGTCTGCTTGATAAGCTACTACAGGTTGAGTTTAGAAGGCACTTACCTTGATGATACAATTTATTTTCCTATGTTGGATTTATCTTTTTAATGATTGTCAGTTAATGTCCACTGAGAGAATAAGCAATCTCTCTCTGCAGCATATCTATGTTTTAAATCACGTGGGAAGGACGGACAGTGTGCAAGAGTGCTTCCTCCTTAAATTGTTCGGCCCAAAACATGTTTTGTTCTGTGGCTAGCCAGGCTTAAAACCCTTCCTTGAAGTTTTTCTGCAGAACCGCAGAGTCAGCAGACACGCCGTTCACATCTCTGAGGCATTTTTAGTCTCACCAGTGATCCATTTGTTTCCTTTCAGCTCTCCCACTGATTCATATGCTTCCTAAAATAGTGAGCACTATCTTTGTTCTGTTGTGATGAGTTACAAAAGAATTAGAAACATCAGTTTAGCACCAAGTAATATGAATCCCATCATATGCTTAGATGTGCTTGGATTTCAACTGTAAGACTCCATCTAATTGCAAATTACCAGTATTTTTGAAAGCATTCTTAGTCTTTTCAGGGTACAAAGCCACACAGCATACTTCTGCATTGTTATTCTTTTCAGCCATGGATGTTTCTTGCAAATACTGCGCCCACTGTTTCTCAACATAGCTGACATCAGTCCCAATAGATTAAAAAAAAAAGGCCAAGTACTTCTGAGAGAAGAACAAATAATGTCTATTGCAATGAAGCTTGGGGTGATCATGGTGGATGAAAAAGATGTGACCTTTCCTGCTCCCAGGTCTCAGGTACTGCATTGGTAACAAAACCACTAAATACTTCACAATGTTCTTAGTTTGCATGTTCCAACCTCATTTTAGCATGTTATATATATATGCCTCTGTGTAATTCATAATTTTTGCAGTGTATTAAAGTATATATGAATGTTTATGTAGCTCAGAAATATGAATGCCAGCACTTTGTGCCAGCTGAGCATGGCTGAATGAATAAATAGTGTGGGAGGTCTTGTCAGTGGGGTTAAGCATTTCATGGAAACCAGGTGCAAGCATCATCATTGCATATGAAATTGCTGCAGCTCAGGATCTGGTATTACAGTCATCTGAGGAGCTCTTTTCAGATAGCATTTTAAAACTGGCTCTGCGCAATAACAAATTAATGAGGTCTCAGTCTCTAGATCTGTGCTAATGAAGCCTCCAGGCAAGGGACAGATCGTACCACATGCCCCTCCAGTCTGGAAAAGTCAGTGTTCATAGAAAGGTTTAGCTTCCCTACACAACAATATAACTCCCGAGATGACATCAAGGATTGTAGTAAAACTTGCCAGCAAGGTCATCTTGTCCAGCCATTACAGCAAGAGCCCTGTAGTTCCAGATTTAGTTGTTAACCTGTTGCCTGGTTTTGGGCAGACTACGAAACTCAGCCTAAGTTCCTCATAAGTAGGATGTGGTCAGGTAGTTAGGCACTCCACTGGGATGATGCAAGAGAGTAGTTTGCACTTAACCCTTTCTACTCGAGGTTGTCTATGAACTTTTCACATGGCAGTAAGGTGTTGTAAAGGTGCTTCGATAAGGTGAAGTAGAGATGCTCCTGGGGTATTCTTCCAGCTGATAGTTTGGCATGTGTGGTCCAAAACACAGAGAAAGTAAGTTAGTATGCTTCAATTCTTAAACATATACACCAAAACAGCACTTTCTTGGCTATGAGTGACAGTGTGACAGAATGTGACAACTTGACAGTGATGCTCTCAATCTCCAAGATCCTGGTATTCCCCAGGGCTCAACTCCAACAGCTGATGTGCTAAGAGCCATTTGCCTCACCTGTGCCAGTGCTTCGACACGTGCTACCTGATGTATTTTAAAGATACATCTTTCATCCTGCTGTGGTGAAAGTGCTCAAATATTAGAAATGTTTTTTTATGAAAAATTCCTGGCAGAAGCAGGGCCTTACAGAGTCTTCCAGGGTTTTTGGAAAAACATCATGACTGGTTGTGACAGAGTGAGGAATATGCTGTGAGAAAACACACAGTTCAAGAGAACAGCTAAATAAAAGACACTGAAATTGAAAGAACCCTTTTTCTCTGTGCCTAAATTTTGGACATATTATCACTCAAATGTCAGTGTTTGAATTATTAAGGTGGTGTAATGAGATGTAATGGCCGGAGCTGCAAGGACAGTAAACATAACTGCATTATTATCAGGACCAGCTGAGCTTCCAATAGTGCAACAGGTCAAACAGCTATAATCATACCACTGTACCTGGAACAGGATAAGTGAAGGAGCCATGTCCAGGCTGCACATGAACAGACTGTACCTGGGCTCTGGGACTACAATTAGAGCAAAGCTGAAGGTTTATAGATCCCAGGCACAAATCAACGTGATAAAGCTAAAAAAAATTTGAAACTAAGTTGGAAGAAATACAAGTATTCGACTCAGTATTCAACTGAGCAATTGCACATTAAACTACAGAGCTGGGATTGCTAGTGAAGAAAAATAGGGGGCTATTTAAGAATATGAAATCCAATATTTTATGTCTGGTTCAGAATAACTCACTGCAAAAGCACAGACTGAGGAGCAAATGAGTAGGGAGCAGCCCTGAAGAAATATTCTAGATGTTGCATACTCGTTCAAAAAAAGCAAACTACTTACTGAGAGGCACAAATATAAATAGAGGCAATAAAATATATGAAGTGATTCTTCCACTTTCCTCAGTACTGGCAAAGATCAGCTGAAGCTCAGCAAGCCTGGCTTGGGCCACCATGCTTGAGTAAGATAAAACACTCATCAGGCTACAGAAGAGAGCAACGTGTATGATCAGAGCTCTAGAAAGGCACAACCTACATGAGAAGATTGGAGAAATGGGGTGCTGGCTCTAGTGAAGAGAACAGAAACATGACAGCAGTCTTCAAAAATACAGATACTGCAGATTAATAAGACATTCCATTGCAGCAGAAATAGACTTTGGTTAGACATTGGGAAAAACTTTCTAAAAATAAGGCTAATGATACATTAAGCTAGATTGCCTGGGGATTGTAAATCTTTTGAAAAGAGATCAGATAAAACTTAGTCAGTAATGACAGAGATAAAATTTATCCATCTGTAGAGAGTGGGATGGTATAGATGACTTCTTGAGATCCCTTTTCATCCCTATTTTCCATGATCATCCACAAGATGAGTGTTTGGTTTTTTTCTGACTTGCTTGTTTATTCATGCTATTCATCTGCTTCTTCAGCTTAGAAATGGAAATCCCATTATTCAGTCCCAGTCAGCACTGACTTCAGGTTTTTCTTGTACTCCATAGCAACACAGTGTGTCTGTTCAAGGTGAAAAGACATCAAGACAAAGTTTAAAACTGTGTTAAATTAATAACTTTGAAGCAACAATCATACCATACAAAATACTTATTGTTGGCATCAAATCAAAAGAGTTCATGAAAACAAGTCCTAAGTCATGAGACTCAGGTAATTCATGGGGTCCTTTTGACACTTCAAAGAGACCAGGTTGCTTGGATGAGATGTATAAGTTTACTGGGGCAGGCAAGATGGAGTCAGGAACAAACACATTTGGATCCACTCTGCCAAGCAGCTATTCCCACTCTTGTGACAAGGGAAGCAGGAGATCTATCACCTTTTCACTATGCTTCCAGCACCATCGACACTTCTGTACATATCCATATCCACTGCCAACAACAAGGAATCCCTCTACCACAGAGGAAGGGGCAGGTGGATTTAAAGCCTGCCCACAGTGCTCCCACTGGATGACTGGGGCCTTCAGTAGGATAAACGTGAGACAAGCTCAGCAACATAGGCCTCTTCCTGCTTCTATGATGCCTTTGATGTTTTTCTTCCTCCAGCAGTGTTCCTACAGCAGTGGAATCAAAGCATTGAACAGCTAATCCTCCTGCCTGTATTCTGGAAGATTCAGGCAACATTTGACTATGTTTCTGTCTCCATGTAATTTTGGTTATTACTGAAAGAATTTTATCTTGTTTTCAAACTATTTAACTCCATTACAGTGATCCTTGTTGTGGCACGCTAAGGCACTTACATCTCGAGCAAGTGCTTTGCAAGGATAAAGTGCTTTTACCTACTATGATTAATATTACTTCGCTAAACGTGGAGGGCACTTTGGCTGCCCTCCCCCTAGGTTGCTAGAGCAACACACATCTGCAAGGACTCATTCTTCTAATCATACCAATTAGGCTTATATAAAGGTATTTCAGTGAGCCAAATGCTGTGGAAAGCACAGTCTGAGGTCTGGCTGAAGACGAACCTCGTGCTCCAAATGCTAACAAAATTATTTTAAACTTCCTTCTGGTGTTACTGTGTTAGTCATGGCGAGCAGGAAGCAGTGCAGTGGCTCGCTGAGCTGGGCAGGTTTGTTTGCCTCTCTGATGGAAAGGAGCACAATGGGGAGCTTCTGAAATGAATTTCTGAAACAGAGAAGAAAGTGAACTTGCATTTTGTTTGCAAACATTATCTTATGATCAAGCAAATCAAGTTAGAATGCAAACCCAGCATGTAAAGAGGTGAGATTAATGATTAATACTTCACATCTAAGTGGTGCCAGATTAATGACTAATACTTTACAGCTATCCATTGCTTTTTGAATAAAGCCAGCCTGTGAAGAACATGTAGATGCACAAGTCAGCAACAGTGAAAGTGCAGCAACTGTCTGATTGACACCTTTGACTGGAGCAATGTGAAAGCTGCAGGGCCCATATGGAAACTTTCCAGGCAACAGCAGTGTCTTTCTCATGCAAGAAAACTGCTCCTTTCCACACAATACAATTAAATTAAGAAGTTTGTACTAACTAGCTGTTTATTTTATTAGCTCTGTCCTCCAGGGGTATTTTGCAACCAGACCATTATGTGGGAATAACAAACACTTTCTGAAAACTTGGACTACTTGAGACAGTTGTCATTAAAATATTAGCAGAAGACACTGACTTGCTGTTACATGACACTACACCATCACACTTGACATGTTTTGCCAATGGTGTGACTCATCATAGGAGTTCGCTTGAGACCGGCTATTGAAACACCGTCCAATTGCACTAATTGCTGGCTGAAACCTCCTGAAACAAAGAAGATGGTACCTTTAAAATGAGACAACTATGTCTAATTACAGCCTGTAATGGTCATAAAATAACAGTCCAAACATAACAGTATGATTGTTCAAATATGTAACTCCATACATCCAAAGAAATTAAAAAGTTTCAAAAATCAACATTCTGACTCCAATTCTAATCTTGTGTTGTGATGGACTTACTGGCCGGGCTGGAATATTATTTATTGTGTAGAATATGGAGTGGCAGGTCTTTTCACACATTGTTTTCAGATTATAGAATTACAGATTCATAGAATGCCTTGGGTTGGAAGGGACCTCACAGATCACCTAGTTACACCCCCCTGCTGTGGACAGGGACACCTTTTTATAGGAAAGTATACAAAAATGGCACTTTGAATAAAAGTTCATGTTCCCTTTACTTTTAATGCAGTTACTGGGGGCCACAAATTAACTCACAGTTGTGTATGCACAGAAGATAGAACTTGAAATGTCTTTGTGTTAAAAGATGACAGTGGCTTATATAGGATAAAAGATGGCAAAAGGACCCCTTACACTCATAGATGCCAAATCCCAATGCCACCTACATTTACAGACTTGCTAACTGTAGGCTAAAGTAAGAATTACCACACTGGAGCAATTTATTTTACCCTTGCATCAGGCTGTCTAGTGCTGCAGCCTTTGGTTAGGATTGGTTAGATTGAGGAGCTGACAACACCAAAATGCTTCCCTTTTTCAAAGAGGGGTGGGGTGGAGGCAACATAGCGTAAGAAGGCAACCAGAGAAGTTCCCCAGCTTAGCATTTGCAGTGCAAGAGCTGACCTACATTGACCTGCCTCCCAGAACTGAAGCTTTGCCATACTGGTGCTGAAAGGATTCCTTCCCTATGTTTTTTTGTCGTCAATCTTCCAACCTAATGCTCCTTTCTCCTTAAGGTTCTCAATAATTGTTCTGTTTCAGCAACCAGAGAATCACCATAAATCACCTTTCTACATTGGCACTTTATCCCCTTCTGTGCTCTTTAAGGTTTTGTCATTGATCTCGTCTGCCCTGCAACTCTTTTCACTATTTTAGCTACATTTAATTAGCATGACCATTTATAATGCTCAGAACTGAACTCTGGACTGTTTGTGTATTTGAAAAGAGTTGGTTTATAAAAGGTGTTTTAGAAATGCTTTGAGATCGCACATCACCAGAAAAATGTGGGGAAGTGAGAAGCAGGGCAGCAGCAGCTAGGCATCACATTTTTTCCAGCAAATGCTACGTTCTTCTAGTTATTATGGTTGGCTGATAAGGAGCGTTTTTGGGGGTGATTGTTTCTACTTACGACTGCAGATTTCGGTAACAAAATTCCTATATATGCTTGTGCCCTGAAGCCCCGCGCAGAAGATCCTCCTGGCTCCTGCCCAAGTGTGTCCCCTCTCCTAGGCCCCCTGGATCTGACAAATTGTTTTGTCCAAGCAGAGCTGGGAGGGATTCTCTTTGAGGAGTAAGAACACCATCTGTAAACAAAGAAGGATGCTAACTGCTGAAGGAGGTGTGAAGTTTCCCTATCTCCGATGGCTCTGCTTTTTAGGTTCTTCATGTGCTCAGGGTCAGGGGATGGGGGGAAAAAAATGGCATTATTTCCTGGCTACATGGATATTTTACTATCTGTCCACTTCCCTGAAGCACTTTGTAAGTTACTTCAGTGTGATGTCCACAACCAGAATGTCAGCTTCCCTGTTTCCTCTGCAGGTTTCTGCAGTTCTTTCTATTTCTACTACATTGTAAGTACTCTTCCCGAGGATACTCAAATGTTTTCTGTTCATCCAGTGAGGACTGATACTATCATTTACATTTTTCACAGTCACAGAATGACAGAATCAGTGGATTCTGTCAGCCTGGAATGTGCCTCAGGAGATCATCTAGTTCAGCTCCACTGCTGCTGCTGCTCAAAGCAGAGCCAACTAGAGCTGTTCTTGGGCTTCCTTTCATCATGTAAGGGGAAATGTTCAAAAAGGAATGCTCACATGGACAGCTGAAAGAGCAGGATCCCACTGTGAGATGGAGCAGACCAATGTGACAGGGTGGGAAGCACTCTGTGTGACTTCTCAGGAACCAAGCTGAGTTTCAGAAGGGGACACAGTTGCCTGAGGTAAAGACTAGGCAGAAAGCAGTTTATCTGGACATTCAGGTCCAGTTTGTTGATCTGAAGAGCTGGAAGTACCCAAGTCTTTGTCAGGAAAAATACTTAGACACCCAAGATCCTGCTTCTGCATGTGGCTGGAGGTGCCATTATCTCAGTAGAGCTGGCTTCCACAGCATCTCTGGCACATCAGCATCCCTTACTCACCTCATGAACCAACCCAAGAAAACCTGAGTCCTCTTAACAACCATTTTAAAATAGGTACAAATAGAACAAGTGCAGAATCCCAGGAGCCTATGCAGGTGTCTCTACACTGCAGTATTCTGCAGTCCTGTCCCTACAATTGTTCCCTATGGTCTGCACTGTATAAAACTGACAAATCATTTAAGGGTATTTCAATTGAGTGAGCACCCCTGCACCCTTGCACAATGGGTTTCACAAAGAAACTTTTTCAAAAAGAACCTTTTTTCAAAAAGAGACTTGCAGGATTTGGGGAATTCTCCTGCTAAGCAGCTGACTCCACAGCCTGTTCTCACTGGGACTGCCTGGCACCTGCCATGAGGGTCTGGGATGAAGGAAAGAGAGAGCAGAAGAGGCTAGTTGCGTATAATGCCCAGGGAAGAAGCCTGATACTGGGAGGCAGAGAGTAAAAGTCAAATGAATCTGTCTGTGTCCTTGCAGCTCTACAACTTTTGGACATGTTGCTGCCAGTCATTGGTTACAGGTGAGCTTCCCAAAGCATTGTCTCATCCCTGGCAACTGGCACACTGCCTGGCCTGCAACACCCTAGGAGTGTCTGTTCTGATGGAAAGTTTTCTCTGAGCCCTTTTACAAGCTGTTATAAGGGCCTTGGAGGCAGCAAAGGTTCCTGGGTTGCTGTAGCACTGCCAGCAAATCTGTAATGTTTTGCCCAGCTGCCTGGCAGCACACTTAACCCTGCAAGACTTTGGGGTTTGGTTAAAGTACCTGGACAGGTTAGAGATTAGGCTGAATTGACCATAATAAAAAGGGATCCCCTCAGGCCACCAGTTTTTTAAAAAGGAGAAGACAGCAGAAGTTTCTGGCTTGTGTCTGGTGGAACATATTCGAGTGCCAAAAGATGCTGTCATCTTGGACTCTGCCAGGGTAACCAGCTTTTGAATTATCCTCACTGACTGACAAGGCTCGGGCAGATCAGGCGAGGGATCCTTCCTAGCTTTTGCAGATACAGACCTGTGTGGCAGGCAGCAAAAGGAATGCAGGTCCTCAGTCTGTCTCTTGTTGAAATGGTATTGGGTAAACTCCTCTGCAGGGCATTCATGATGCCAAGTTCTACCCTCTAACACATAAGTTCTACCCTCTAACAAATTCTGCAGTCTAACACACAAAAGTAACAAGCACCAGCATGCCTGCACAGGGAGTGCAAGGCAGAGGATAAATGGCAGAAGAGGGAGATGTCTGTACCCAGCCACAGTGAGTGCTGCTGGTCTCATCCCTTCTGTCTCAGGTAGCAAAGTTGGAAACAGGCCTGTGGAACTTTCCCCAATGGGACAGGTCTCATACCACCCTGTGTCCCCGCTGATGTGTAATAGTGATGTACCCTGCGCACCCAAAAGGCCCTCAGATCTGAACACTAAAGATACGAGTCAGTTAAAACGACCTGGTTCATGAAGTGTAAGCTTCTCTCAGATGTGACTATTGCAGACAGTACACGTGTTGCCACAGGAACTCAGTGACAGGACTTCAGAAGACCAGCTGCCAACCTTGTGCTTTTATCAGGCATTGGAATGGGCTGCCCGGAGGGGTGGTGGATTCACCATCCCTGGAGATTTTTAAACGCAGATTGGACGTGGCACTGAGTGCCATGATCTAGTAAATGGACTGGATTTGGACCAAGGGTTGGACTCGATGATCTCGGAGGTCTTTTCCAACCCAATCGATTCTATGATTCTATGATTCTATTACTCAATAATAGTCCCTCCTGTAACTTTCTAAAAAAGAAAACATAGAGAAATGTGGAGATCTCAGTAGAACATGATAAGGTTCTGGAACAAATTGTTCTCTCTGCTGTTGCCTCCTTGCCCAAATGCCTGAGGCCTCTCTCACTCTTCTGTATCTGCTGTCACTTCTTTCCAGACTTGTCAGGGACAAGTCCTAGTGATGCAGTTTCTCGTTATTCACCTTTCCTCCTTCTGAGTGTTAGTCTGGTTTGCAGGGGTCCAAGCAAAGACATATAAACAAGAGCAGGGTTCACAACAGATACACCCACCTTCAATACAGCAGACACAACATTTAGCTCAATTTTCGCTCTGGGGAAAAAAAACATTCACTTGGTGAATTCCAATAAAATCCTTGTTATATTTGCAGTTGACTTCATCCACACGCCCCAAACCAGTTTGCACACCCCCAGCTTCCTCTCTTTCTCTCTCTCTCATCCCCCTCCCAACAACTTCACAACAATTTCAAAGAACAGATTGGCAAGTGGTTGAAAGAACACAAAGACCTTGTCCTTGTTAGCCAGAGAAAAAGTGCTGGCACCTGTATGTCAAGAACTTGTGGCTTTTCAGTTTGCATGTTTCTTGCTAATACTGTTTATCCAGGTAGCACAGATGGGGCATATCATTTGGCAAGCTCACCCCTAAGCTTTTTACAACAAAGATGATAACAGGTGCAAGATAAGGGACACAGATAAACCCAAGAATTCATTACAAAAAATTTGCATCCAAAGCAGCAGCAGGAGGACTTGGCTTTACTTTATCTTAAAAGCACACACTTTGTGAATTCCATTCAAATACTAACTGTATTTGCATCTGATATTGTAAGTGTGTCACACTAGCCAACAACATGGAACTAAACTGTGTCTGTGTGGGCTTCAGCTCCTGTGCAAGGGCAGCCAAGCAAGTCACCTCTTCTCATGGCAGCACGAAGGCTTTAGGACGGGTCTTGAAAAACTAGAGACAAAATTCTGAAGAGATTACATTGTCCCCACAGAGCGCAGGATTTTCAAAGGCACTCATTAGATTAACAGAAAAGGCCTCTTAATTCTAAAGGTGTTATTTTGATCTCAGAATGGAAGCTGAGCAGTTAGGATGCACTAAACACTTGAAAACTTGGCCCCAAGTTCTGCTTTTGCCTGCTTGTGTGATCAAAGAATGTGGCACAGCTGTGTAGAGGTTCCTGGTCAGAGATCATCCATAACATACAGCCAGGAGAGAGTTAGTTAGAGGCCAAGGTCAATTAGCATGATCTGAGTGCTGAAGTCTGTATTCTCAATTACTGTCTGTAGAAGTCCTATTTTAATCCACTGTTTAAAAAGAGATAAGAGACTATCCTAACAAAAGATAGGTATCGAAAAGTTGCATGACCTGAACATCCACTGTTTCACTCACAAGTCTGCAGTCTGAATCAGAAGTAATTGGGAGCTGGTAATACCTGGCCTTTACTTGATGGTGTATCTAAAGTGTGTTAATAGATCCATTCATTTCATAAGAGTAAACCTCAATCCCAGGTAAAACCACAGGAGGCTTGAGAATGTCAGATGAGCAGCAATTCCTATTAGTGCAGTGGTGTATGCCCATGGTTGGCAACGGTGCCAGTGGATAAGGAAAAATTGCAATTTCCTTTCACTCTGAAGGACAGTCGCTCCAGCTCAGTCCTATAGCACAAAGCCAAGGAAGCATGCAGTGGTCCTCACACTCCATTAAATCACCAAGACCTTTGTGTCCCTCTGCTTTTAGCATACCATCTTGTACAACCTCATTTGTGCTTGAAACCAGGGAGTGAAAGAGCACAACAGTAACAAGAAATAAACAAAAGTTTACTAGCAATTTATCTACAGACAAACATACAACAAATAAAAAAGGGAGCTGCAAACAAAGATGAAACCCTTTCACTGCAACATCCTTTGGGAATTTTTCATCTACTTTGTAATTAAAGACTGAGATGATTAAACCACGGAAGATGGGAAAAATGCATTTTAAAGTGGCCTAGTGCTTATTAGCACATGTATTAATGTATTATTCTGTGGCCATGACTGAAACAACTGCCATTAAACACATTTTCTTAGTGCACTCCTTTAAACAAAGATTTTTGGTTGAATAATTTTAGTCGTTCAGGTAAAATAACTGCATAGGCCTGTTCACTGTGGCACGGAACTAGGCAGGAAACACTATTGTTAGCCCACACAAATTTTTCCTTAACTCTGATAATCTTGAATCCAGGATTATTCAGATGAGGCAAATGAGAGGGAGAATATATCCTTGCCCATGTAAATGTAGAGAACAGATCTCCCAGATCATTGTGCATATTTCTGCTCTCTTTGCTAGAGATGAGGGATCCCAGTGACCATCCTACATCCCAGTGAACACCCTAGCCTCTGGTCACTGGATATTTTGAGGCAGGTCTCTCTCTCTCCCCCTCTGTTCTCCTCTGCATGAAGAGTTTTTTGGTACAAACACATGACTATATGTAGACCTCCTAAACTTCCACTTGTGTTTGACCATGAGGGTCTTTTTTTCTCATTTCTGTGTTGACAAGTAATATCTGGATGTTCTTTTAACAAGAGTCAGCTATAACTGATCAGTGTTTCCATGTTTTCCTTGTCCAGAACTTGTTTGTTTGGGGTTTTTTTCCCCAGAAATGCCAGGTTAGAGTAATAACTGAATTATCTCTGCCTAAACCAGCTGTTGCTGTCACTAGCACTGCTGCCAAAGGATTTCAGAGTTTTGTCTGAGGAGTCAGAGGGACAAAATACTTCAGTAAGAAGTACACATCAGAGAGGCAGTCACTTTTCAGCTTCTGAGGGAAATGTTGAAAAAGGTGATGAAATGTGCTCCTTAACACAAGGAGATAATTTAAAAAGGTTTGTGGTTGACTCTTACAATACTTCAATCTTTATATAGTGTTCAAAACTCACTAAAACATTAAGCCAAATCCTTACTTCCACTGAGCTGGCGGCACAAAAAGCTAACTTATTAGAATCTATACAGTCTTGAAGAAGCTTTTCAATAACTACACATGACACATGGAATATTTTCTTAAAGAAAAAAGTAATTTAGTAAGAACAGTAAAGGTACAGAACAATAAGAAACAAATGTCAGCACACTGAGAATGAGGTTGGGATTGTTTTTTATAAACAACTGGTTTATTCTTTTCTTATTACAGGTTTAAATCAGTTTAGCACCATTTTTGTTCATTCAGAGACTAAAAAAAGTTAATATTTTAAAAGATTTATTTATAATACCCTTGAGGTTTAGAGTATGTTTATGTAACCCTTCTGCCAGGAATTGGCAGCAGCTGAAAGAGCTGGATTCGTTTATCTAGGGGTTCTCTCTGAAAACTTAAACAAGCAGTTTCAGCCTCCACCCAAAGCTAAATGACCTCCTTTGGGTGTCCTGACAAACAATAAATCCTGCTCAAGGCATAGCAAGGGTTTAAAACAAGGTTCAGAGTTTCAAGACAAAGAGAACTTTGGAGATGAGGGAAAGGGAAGAAGAAAGGCTCAGGGTAAACCCACAAGAGCCACTAATCAATAAAATAAATAATGCTTAAGTGATCCCTAACCTCCCGCTCCTCCTTGCCTCTGTGACACAAAATAAGGGCTTGCTCTCATTTCCAAACAGATGCCTTGTCCATTGAACATCACTGCCCACTCAAAACTCTCCCTGTATTTACTGTGTGGCTTCACTTTGCAGCTAAGCTAATGAACATATGTATCAGTGCGCACAAACCAGGAGACCCTACCCTCTCCACAGCCCCTTGCTCATGCTGACGCTTAGCTGACCATGCAGTGAACTGATTCAAGGCACCAAACTGGCAGATAAAGAACTTGTGAAAAACAAAGTAAGCGGTGGAGGGTTCCTGCTGGTTTAACTACCTGAATCAATTCACCAAGGTGAATTCATCAATTCATCAAAGGTGGCACCAAGGAACAGGATGGCATGGCTGGGGATAGAAAGAAGAGCCAGACTGCTGTTGTGTCTCTTCTAGTAGTAACAGCTAGGCTGAGTTAGCTACTAATAGGTTGGGCTGGTGTAGTTTCAAGATGAAACTGCTTTTAAGTATGGTGGCATTATTGTATGAATCTCCTGGCTTATTCCCCTATAGGCCAAATTTTGAGGAAGCACAGCTGCTCTGTCTGTGACTATGGGGCTAATTCTATCTCTAAATAAAAGTCCAGCCGACCTGTAAGGTGTGAGCATCCCCTCTGCCAGCCAAGAGGAAGAAATAGGGCTTTTGATGCAAACCCTAAAACACCACATTTTACTAAGGACAGAGCCCTAGGGCCAGCTTTGCTGCCCAGTGAGAATTGCTCTGCTCTACTCCCTTACACAGCAGATCAGCCCTGAGACTTTTCCAGGTCCCTCAGCTGCTCCTATGCCACACTGTCCACAGCGAGGAAGCTTTTAGAACTCAGCTTCCTCAAATTTTTGGGGCATCAGATTTAAAAAGCTAATCACAGAATTAATTAGGTTGGAAGAGACCTCCAAGCCCAACCTAAGCCTGATCACCACCATGGTCAACTAGACCACGGCAATAAGTGCCGCATCCAGTCTTTCCTTAAATACTTCCAAGGAGGGTGACTCTACCACCTCCCCAGGCAGCCCATTCCAGTGTCTAATTACCCCTTCTGTGAAAAAATTCTTTCTAATGTCCAACCTAAACCTCCCCTGGTGCAGTTTAGGACTATGTCTTCTCATCCTGTCATCCTCTCCTCCTGTTGCCTGGGAGAAGACACCAAACGCCATCTGGCTACAATCTCCTTTCATGGAGTTGTAGAGAGTAATAAGGTCACTCCTGAGCCTTCTTTTCTCCAGGCTAAACAACCCCAGCTCCTTTAGCTGTTCCTCATAGGACTTGTGCTCCAGATCCTTCCTCAGCTCCATTGCCCTTCTCTGGACTTGCTCCAGCACCTCAATGTCCTTCCTGTAGGGAGCAGCCCAGAACTGGACACAGCACTCGAGGTGGGGCCTCAGCAGTGCTGAGTACAGGGGGACAATCATTGCCTTGGTCCTGCTGGCCACACTATTCCTGATACAGGCCAGGATGCCAAAGGTCTTCTTGGCCACCCGGGCACGCTGCTGGCTCATTTTCAGCCGGCTGTCAACCAGCACCTCCAGGTCCTTTTCCGCCGGTCCGCTTTCCAATTACTCCGCCCCCAGCAGCGTGCCCGATTTCCCAGGGAGCGGAGGAATTCTCCCAGGGAGCGAAGGAATTCTCCCAAGGAGCCTGTGGAAACCCAGGCGAGGGCGGCTCTTTGCCGGGCGCCATTTGCAGCACACAAAGGGCCGCGGGGCTCCCGCAGCGCCCCGGCCGCGGCTCCGCGGGTGCCACCTGCCGGCGGCCCCTGCGCTGCGCGGGGCGGAGCGGGGCCATGGCTATGGCGGGCAGCGTGGCGGGGGCAGCGCTGCGGCGGGGCCGGATCGGCCTCCGCCACCGCCTGGCGCGGCCGCCGGGGCTCGGCGGCGGGAGGGCGGCGGCGGACTGGAGCCGGAGCCGGGCGGCGGCCGGAGGAGCGGTGCAGTACTGCGCCGAGCTGGTGCGGTGAGTGCCCGCGGCCCGGGGGCTGCAGGCGCGGCGGTGCGCGCTCCGCAGGGGAAGGCTCCGAGTCTGTCCCAGGAGGGCTCGACAGCGCTTCCCTCCCGATGGGGAAGCTGGCGAGTTCCCTGAAAGGGTGACTGGGATTCCCCCAGGCCGCCCTTGGCCTCTCCTGGCCCCGAGAACGGTCCCTATGGCCGGCGCCGGTGGGCCGGCGGGACCGCGCCGTGTTGGGAGCGTGGAAAGCAGGCGGATATTTCACCTGCGTGGATGATTTACCCTGCACACAGGATCACAGAACCGATAGGGTTGGAACGGACCTCTGGAAGGCGTTTCGTCCAGCCCCTTGCCAAGGCAGGGTCACCCAGGGCAGGTTACACAGGAACGCGTCCACGTGGGTTTTGAATGTCCCCGGAGGGACATTTGAATGTCTCCAGGAGATTCCCACGACCTTCCTGGGAAGCCTCCCACGGAAATCCACCCACGCCCCCGCCCCTTCACTGCTGCATTTCTTCAGAAATTTTGAATATTTCAGTTTCTTTGCCTCGGGATTTTGGAGAGAGAAATCACCGAAGTGGATGTTTAAAAATAATGGGTTTTGTCAGATTTTCTTGGCTGCTAGGAAACAGCCAAGCTTCCGGAGTGCTTCTTAGAAAAATGGGCAAAAGCAGACGACATCCGATAGCTGGACAGGCAGCTCAGTACCTTCTCTGTCCTGAATGCAGGAGGGAGGCTATGTTCCAGAAGCATGCATACATTTTTTTGTCAAATCCAAAGTGCTCCAAGAGGAGCAGGGGTACAGCTCAGGCACTTCCAGGCCAAGCCATGTTTCCTCCTGGGCTTCTGGGCTGTAAACAACGTGCAGAGCCCCTTGGCTGTTTTCTAATCCACAGAAGTTCAGTTCTTTTCAAAGTAAAACGTTTAACAAGTCTCTTTTTAAAGACCTAAATAATTTCTCTTTGGATACTGTTGTCTTAGATGGTTGACAAAAGCAGGGAGGCAGCTTCCAAGTGTGTATAGAAAGAGTGGAACAGGATCATCTTTTCCAAACTAATGCTTGTAAAAGACAGAAAGGTGTGTATAGTCAGCAGTAGTGCCTGAGGTAGGAAAACTAATGGGAAGAAATGGGACTATCTTAAATGTTCAGTGCAGCAAAAAACAGCAGATCTATACAGATGCAGCAGAGCGCACAGCCAGGTTGCAGTTTCCTTGACAAAGCTTCAGAATATAGCTTTCTTTTCCTAGTTACTCTACCCAGGATTTGTTCACCTGATACTCAAGAGCCCGGAGGTTGTTTGTGCAGTTAATATACAAATAAAGGTAATGTATACAGGTAAAATGTTTTCAGTAACGAACAACTGTGAACAGAATAGTTAGGTTTGAAGGCACAGAAGCTGAGATGGTTGAATTAAAACGTTTTTAATATACATTTTTGTTAAATGATAAAAAGATTAGTTAGAAAAATACATGACCATTCAAAATAGCAAAATGAAAGGTGGTTATGCTTTTGGCTTCATTTAATTGAAGCTGCTGTTCCCAGTAGCTCATATATTGCATGGAAATAATGAACTATAAAAAAAAGAGAAAGGAGTTATTATTCAAACAGAAATAAAACACCTGTGGCTGTGCAAGCATCAGCAATTCCCTGGTCCTGAATTTGATTATCCCACACACTAGGAAGAACAACTGAGTTATGCTTTAAGGATATACATTTGTGCAAGTTTTTGCGATATGCAAGATGTCCTTTCTCTTGGGCTTTCCTTTTTATGTTAAGCAACTCTTTTAAAAGTTGCTTAAAACTATTTAGTTAAAAATATGTATCCCTAGTAGGTATGTTTTCTGTCTCTTGCTGCTTATGATGTCTGCTCTGGAAGACAACCATGTGGCTTGATGGTATTATGAAGTTTCATAACATGGAGGAAATTCGTCATACTGAAAGTCCAATAATGGTCATAGCCAGCTTTTCTTCTGTGTGTGTGTTCATACATAAAATATACTTATGTGAGAGGAAAACTACGAAAAACTTAAGGTCACTCCCTTCTTTCTTCATTCCTTACACTAATACATGAAGGACGTTGAGATAGAACGTGATCTACAGCAGTATCAGTTTTATTTTACACACTGTGGCTTAATAGATTTGCTACACTTCATTTTTAAGCTTGGAATAATTGAAAACCAACATGTCAACACCATTACTCTAGGGAAGACAAATTTCTCTATTGTACTGCTGTGTACTTTGTGTAACCTGATTCTTTCTGAAAGTAGAGGTGTTGCATGAACAACTCAGGCAAAATGGAACTGGGAAAATGTGGCTGTAAAACTTGCAGCTCTGCGTAGAGTGGGCAAAACTCGGTATTACTACAATCAGTCTTGAGAAAAATACTAGGTTTTGAGATGATAATACTTTCAGAAACTGTCTTAATTGAGGGAAGTTTGATGCATCTGTTCTTTAATACGAATGTGACCCTTAAAGCCTGCTAAAATTCACAAATGTAAATTTTTTTATGTTTGTGAATTTGCATCAAGCTCTAAAACAAGTTTCACAGCCATTGTGAAAACTCTAAGTGTTTGTTGTCAGCTGCTATAGGGTTAAGAAACTCTGTTAAAGCTCACTTCGTTTTTGTTTGATGCTAAAAGTAGCAACCCTAATAGCCCTTGGTTTTAGTTTGGCTTTGCTATTTTAAGCTCATATTCCAAAGAAATATGAGTACATGGAAGAACAGCAAACTTCATGAAAATGAGCAAATGTGTTTTCCTTGACACCTGTTTCTCCACTTTCCAGGTGAAACTTGGAGTTGTTGGACTTGTTCTAACAAAGAATCAGGTTTTAGGCTTATCAGAAAGTACACAAAAACATTGTTCAAAACGAGCAGTTTAGCTTTTCAGAAGTGGCCAGGTGATTTTATTAGTTGCAGTAATGTCTGATTTTGCAGTTTGTGATTCTGTGCACCGTGTTGTTTTTAATTTCGTGGCACACCCACGTGGCCAAACGATGGCATGTCACTCCAGGGTGACAGAGGGTTGCCTGCAGTGAAACTGCCAGCTCCCACAGTTTTTATGCTTTGAATATAATTGCCAATATAAACAAAAACTTAATGGTTAAGTGAGCACTCTTCTGCCAAGCTCCAAAGCACAATCTTTTAAAGAACTGTGGTTTCATGTTTGGAACAGAAATCCGGAGGTCAGACAAGCTGGATTCTTTTTGCAGTTCTGCCACAGCCTTTCTTCTACCTTTAGTCAGATATCTGAGATCTGGATTTCAGAGGTGCACTGAGAGTTCAGACAACCTCCCCTCTCTTGGAGTTTGTCTTATTTTAAGCTTAAAAACCGCTACTTTTGCAAAGTTTTGAACTATAACTTATTGCTACTCTTTCAGGAGTTCAGTGCTAAGCAGTAACACACCCAATGTACATAGAGCTATAAGTAACAAATATATTTTTTCATCCTTTTATAGAAAGCGTGACTATGAAGGGTTTCTGTGTTCTCTGCTGTTGCCTGCAGAATCTCGAACCTCTGCTTTTGCCTTGAGAGCCTTCAATGTGGAACTGGCTCAGGCAGGTATTAAAATATATTTGTGAACTCTGGAAATGTAAAATAACAATTTTGGTATTCTAAATTACACTAGTAGGTTGTGTTTTGCCAGGATTAACTTTTTATATTGTGAAGGGCAATGAATAACTAGTGCAATACAAACCTCTAGTTTTGAATGGCCCGTGGAAAGTAGGCAGCCTCCCCCAATTATTTTGCTGATGTGTATAGATTTTCTGGCTTTCCTCTTTGTTGTGCTTTTTAAAACTAAAATTAAATTATAACACTTATAACAGGCAGTGGTCCTTGATACTGTTATGTGGTTGCATCTACATCCTGGCTTCACATGCAGTGACCGAATCAGTCAAGTGCAGCTAAATCCTGTCTGTAGAAGGTCTGTCAAAAACTTGGATAACCAGGACCAGGTCTTTGTTGGCAAAAGCAAGGTGAGGGAAAGGCTGCAAGGAGGGAAGTTTGCTGTCAGTGTAATGGGAGAGGAGTGGCTGCAGTCTCTTCCCTTTGCTGTGTGGCCAGAAAGTGCCAGTGCAGCCAGGAAACTTGGCAAAGCTTGCCAGAGAGGAGTGATCCAGGAAATGAGCTGACCAGGCTAAACCCCTGACCAGCTCCTGTAGTCTGTGCTTCTGGCAGCCCATGATGTACTGTCCTGCACTGCTGGCACCACTGCTTCCTTTCCTTCTGGGAAGAAAGCTAGGGTGACGGTCACCCGAGACTTAATCTCCATGGGTTTCAAAGTTCAGGTTGTGGGGAAGATTTCTTTTTTAGTTTATGTAGTGTTCACAAGCTGTATCGGGAATAAACATCAATTGAAAACTGAGCATTTTCCCTACTGAGCGTGGCTATGTCCTGTGTCTCTTTTCAGCGTAGATAGACCAAGTGTCTTAAAGACACTGTGAGTTTCACTCCAGATGTGTCCTTTCCAGATTAAAGACTCCATAACTCAGAAGACTACGGGTTTGATGCGGATGCAGTTCTGGAGGGAGGCTGTGGAAGACATATACTGCGATAACCCACCACATCAGCCAGTTGCTACAGAACTGTGGAGGGTAAAATATGCCTTTATTGTCCTAAAATTCACTTAACTTTAGTATTACCGTGGGAAATAATGTCAGTGTTTTGCGTGTGCTGTGTTACATAGTTAACAGCATTATTTTATATAAAACAGGTAATGTAAATTGTGTTGTGTTTCTGTGTGTAAGCTACCTACAAGCAAAGAGCTGAGTTGGAGAAGGAGGATATTTATGTGGGACCTGCTTGAAAGGTCAGACTTCTCTGAACCATCTGCTTTTTTCTCTTCTGCTTAGGTGAAGGGCTGAGTAAATTGTGGTAAGCCATAAGTTGATAGTTGAAGTGCAAAAGTGTACTTCTCTAAGCTCGTGCTAGTTATGTCTGAAGAGATTCAGCTGTAGAAAAAGACAGAAAGTTGAGCACAGAAGGTGAACTAGCAAATAGGTATGAGGAAAGGCCCAAGACTTTATGCAGTTACTGGATAATAGGGAAAATCTTAATACAGTCTTCTCCTCACATCAAGAGCTGCATGGTGGCTTCTGTTTATGTATTGCACAGATCTTTTTATGTGCACTGAGTAACAAGGATGTACTTGTGATCTTAGCACTTTATTTTTACCAAGATGCCCAAGTTCTGCAGGGACTAGAACATCACACATGAAGTATTCCTACATATCTATCCCTTTGCTGACCATGGCCAAAGAAACGGAGGCTTTCTTCCAAATTTTTGTTTCTACTTAGGACTGTCATTAATATGTTCGATGGGCGATTGAAGGTCTGAAGGCAGTGTAAATGGCAGTGTAAATCCCCTTGATGCTGATGTAAAACCACAATGATTTCATGGGTAGGTTATCATCTAGTCCAGCTTGCCATTCAGAGATGATCTAACATCAAAGTTAGATCAGGTTATCAGGGTCACATTGAGGTGAATTTTGAATTTTTTCGGGGATGGAAATTCCATATGTTGTTAACTTGGCATCTTAGGGCCACGGGCCACAGCAAGTGTTTGGAGCAGCAAGTCCACAAGTGCTCCAAGAGAACAGCTACTCTTACTCTATAAGATCAGACCTGGATTTAAACTAAAGATCTCTGAGTTCCTGGACAGGAAAAGCTGCAGTTTGTCTAAACCTCAGTAGCTGAATACAGTTGACATAGATCCATAGGTAGTTAGGTTTGTGGACCTGCTGAAAAACAGGCAGTGAAATGTGGTCTTTGTCCAAATATTCATCTGCATTATTCCTGTTAAAATCCTGGGAAAAGCAGGACACTCACTGTAACTCTGGGTTAGAACAATGCAGTTTCTGCAGGATTAGAGCATTTCTCTTGTTGCAGTTTTGATTTCGCTCAGCTTCATAAAACGGCCTGGGTTAGAAAGGACCTTGTAGATCATCTAGTTCCAGTGCCCCTGCCATGGACAGGGACACCTTCCACTAGACCAGGTTGCTCAAAGTCCCATCCAACCCGGCCTTGAACACTTTCAGGGATGGATACAACTCTGCTGCACCTCCGAGACCACAAAAATTAGTCCTTTACGAAGAACCTTGGCCTCTCCCTGACTCTTCCTCCTTCAAATGTGACATAAAGCATAAGTGAGCATTTGTTCCTGTCTGTCAACACTCATGTTTAGATTAAAATTGAGATTTAAACTAAGATACACTTTGTTTAACTAAGAGAAAACATAGGTAATGCCAAGAAATAAAAGTTACAGTCACTTCTAGGGAAGACCAGAGCTTTTCCTAGGTGTCTCTCCAGCTCAGATAAATCATGTGCTTTAGCTACAGCAAAGTGTTCGTACAGTTAGAATGAAGACTGGCAAATGTTGTGAGCCTTTTTATGGGATTATGGGAGTTGAAGATGTACTTAGCATTATACTTTAATGCAGATATTAAAGTGCAGAACCACTTGTTTACCATGTCAGTCTGTCTGTGCTTTTGCTTTTTACTTCCTTCTCTTTGTCACTCTTCCAACAAATGGCAAACTTCCCAGGTACAAGATGGTTTTCTCCCAAAATGCTTTTTTCACCTTTCTAAGGAGCAACTTTAGTGTAGCCTAACTTATTTTTGCTTCTGAAGATATCCTCTCATTTAGTTGTCTGATTGAGCGGGTCAGGTACAAGTTAGTTGTGGATACGACTGTATCTTTTGTTTCAACCGCTTTTATTTTCAGGCTGCTTATATGTGTGTCAGTGTGGGGTGTGTGCATCAAAGCCCAGCCAGCCTCTTAGCAGAGGTGCCCTCTCCCTCCTGCCAACCTCCCCCCTTACTTTACTGCTGAGCTTGATGTCAAATGGTCTAGAATATGTCTTTGGTCAGCTGAGGTCAGTTGTCCTGGCTGTGTCCCCTCCCAACTCCTTGTGCCCTCCCAGCCTCCTCCCTGGTGGGATGGTGTGAGCAGCAGAAAATGCCTTGACACTGTGTAATCACTGCTCAGCAGTAACTATAACAGCAGTTCTTAGCAACACCTTTTCCAGCACAAATCCAGAACACAGCCCCATAAAAGCCACTGTGAAGAAAATTAACTCTATCCCAGCCAAAACCAGTACAGCATTCAGATATAAATCATTCAGATACTGGGATACCAACTGCAACCCTTCCCAGCAGCTAGGGCCCAGTCGTGCTCCTTTCTCACAAAACAGAAAATTGATTTTGAAGTGGAAGAAAGGATTGCCTATCTCTCTAGTAAGATTTCACCTCATGTGTGATTTCTCTAAAGGAAGACCAATATAATACAATCCAAACAGAACTGGTTGCGAAATAAGATGTTGAAAAATAATTCAGAAGGTATTTTTAGGAGCTCTGAAAGCTCTGAGCACTGCAGAGCACTGGAATGAACTGACAATTCAACCTTACCTGGTGACCTTTTCAGTCAAGATGTGATTTTTATTTCTGTACTTTGGCACATACCCCAAGAATGACCTATTTGAAGATCACGGCTTCACAAATGTCCAGGAATGTCATTGCAATTCTTAGAAAGAAGCATTTGGAAAGACAAGAACTCACAAGTATTGCAGAACTGTTAATAGAATTAGCATGTCTTTGCACAACATAATCAGTGTGTACTCTTTTTTTTCTGTTGAGTTTATATGAGGACAATTTGATTTTCCAGAATAAATTCTAATTTATCATGCTAAATGTGTTCCTGAAGTTTTGTATATCCCAGAATACTCACATTTGGATTCCTAAAGTTTTATGCACTAGTAAAGTAGATAAATAGCCTTTAATAGTATTTCTTGAATTATTAATAGCTCATTTATTGGTGACTTTAATATAAATTTATACAGTGGCTGTATAAATTGTTCCTACTTGACTGTCCATTTTGAACACATGAAGAGTGAAGCCTAATTCTCCATTCGTTTCTGGTAGAAGAAGCCAGTTTTTGAAGCTTGAGAAGTGAGGACCTGTGTGTTTGAATGAAGGTAGCTTAAAATGGATGTAATGTTCAAATTGCATAATTTAGCAGAATTCATTTTGGAGCTTTAAGTCTTGACCTGTGACTGTTTAAAGGATTTAGTTTACAAAATGATACTCGAGGTGAACAAGTGAGAATCAAACCTGACATTTGTAGTTATGACTTAAAATTTGTCTTTTCACATACGGAGTACTGTCTCAAGCAGAATTTGTTGAATCGACAAGATCTGGTCTTGTCAAACCTTGAAAAAATATTTACTAATATGATGGATGTAAAGAAGAAATTGAAAATGAGCTATTAAGCTAAATGGTGAGAAATCTACTACACAGATCTTGTTTGTAAATGTTTATATGTGTGAATGTAGCCTTTCTGACAATGTGTTCTGGAAAATTCAATGTGTGTAATTAAGAGGATTGAAGGTAAGTTGATAGAATGAAGTGGTACAGGAAGGAAGTTAAGTACAAGCTAAAAGCCAAAAGAATGTATGAATATGAGATGCTGTGGGATACATTTTAAACAAACCCAGAATATTCAGTATAATAATTTGTTAGGTTGCTGTCTTTACAGTATGTATCAGTATGTTGTACTGATGTTTTCTTGAAAATGTATAGGGGAAATGTTTTTTATTGCTTGACTCTGGAGGAAACTGTGTTCTTTTTGGAAAGTGAACATGGTTATCTGCAAATATTTTGTCGGAATGTATGACTCCAAGAATAAATTACTTGCAAAAACATTTTTAAAGAAAAGCTTTTAGTTAGCTGGCTTGATGTCCAGTATTTCATTTTTGTGTGCAGCAACTTGCAGTAAATGTCATTTGAAAATTTCTGTATTTGAATCTCTGTATTATTGTAATAAATATCTAAAATATATTTCAGCCTTCAGAATGCAGTATTACCATCACTTTGTATACATTAACATGGAGGTTTTATTTGATAATTTTCAGGCTGTCAAGAGGCATAATTTGACTAAAATGTGGTTCATGAAGATCATTGATGAAAGAGTAAGTATTTACCATTCAGAGTCTGATTCTAGTTTTAGTCATATTTGGCTTTTCTTTTCCTTATTTTTATGTGCTTATGTGTAGAACAAAAGCTTATATAATTCATCTTTTCCAGAAAGCAGTATTTCTCTTTAAAAATAATACTCTCTATTTCTTTTTAATTCTCCCTTGATGCCACTCTTCATAGTTTCTGCTCTTTTCTGGCCAGAATGGCTAATAGAATCCTTTGTTTATTTTTGCTTTAAAATAGGTGTAGTTTGTGAGTCCACATAGATGTAGGATCTCAAAAATTAAATGACTTGTCTGAACCTTTCTGCCACACTTTTCCGCTTCTTATCATGGCTGTGGAGTTTTTCCTAAGCAGTGTTGTAAACTGGAGCATTCAAATCACATGAAGTTTAAAATATCCACCCTTTTCTGGGAAAAAATGAGGAAGAATTTCACTGGTACAGTGATGCTGCTACCAGCTCTGACACAAGGGCGAGAATGAAAAGTGGGGGGCAGGAATTTCTTAAACTATTTTTATTGCTAAAGTTAGTGTCTCATGAAGTTATACACTGAGAAAACTGATGGTCAGTTACTTGCAGAGTGTCATTGCTATGAAAGACTTCAGAGTTTATTAATCTTAAAACTGGTTCTTAATCCTATGACTAGTATGTTTTAACCACAGAAACCGCTAGGACAGGAAGAATGCTGGAGGATGTTATATTTTTTGATGTATTTTATTAGATACTACATTATTTGGGTGTATTTTATTATTTTTGGCTGTATTATTTATTAGAGGCCCTAAGTTGATCTGGGGGCTGGAACACCTTGCCTGTGCAGACAGGCTGAGAAATTTGAGGCTGTTGGTCCCTTAGAAGAGAAGGCTCTGGGGGATAGCACCTTATAGCACCCTCCTGAAGGGGGCTACAAGGGGCTGCAGAGGGACTTTTCACAAGGGCATGTAGTGATAGGACAAGAGGGAATGGCCTTAAGCTGAAGAAAGGTAGGTTTAGATTAGATTTTAGGAAGAAATTCCTTACTATGAGGGTGGTGAGGCAATGGAACAGGTTGCCTAGAGAGTTTGTGGACTGTCCATGAAGTGTTCAAGGCCAGGTTGGACGGGACTCTCTGCTACCTGCTCTATTAGAAGGTGTCCCTGCCCATGGCAGGGGAGTTGGAGTTAGATGGTTCCTTTCAGCCCAAACCATTCCATGATTCTAAGAGTCAATGATTTGCTTATGACTTTGAAACTCGTGTGTATTTGATAGATTTTATGCATGTTTTAAACCATACATTCATATTTATCCAAATTTCTCTGTGCTTCAGTTGCAAAATAACTATTATAATTGAAAACCTCATGGTGTAAGAATACCATATGATGTTTTGTTTTGGCTGTATTTTTTTTAATGAAGAATTCTGATTTCATATTACTGCAGAAAGTTATATTTGCTCGAGTAAGCAGACATGGCTGCAGTTGCATGTAGTTGATTATGTTAGACTTGCTGTAAGCTTTAACGATTGCTTCTATCTGAGTTTATACTTTTCTGTCTCTCAATTTTTGTCCTTTTTTTGTTTTGTTAGTGAATTAGGTTGACATGACCGTAGTAATGAACTTGTGTAAATAGCAGTTATGTTTAACTGAATTCTGTGTTTATATTACAGGAGAAGAATTTGGATGATAGGGCATACCGTAACATCCAGGAGCTCGAAACATATGCTGAGAACACTCAGAGTGCTCTCTTGTACCTCACCTTGGAAATGCTGGGTAGGTGTTTTGCGCTTTTAATGTTTTGTTGTTGACTCATTAGTGCAGGTACAATATTTATTGATGTTTCAAAAAGCCCATTCTTTTCCCACTGGAGTTTACTTTCACAGAAGTTGCCTTAGGTAATACTTCGTATATCTTTTGAATGTGGAATCCTACTACAGCTGTCCTAGACCTATGCTTTCCTTGGAAGCTGCTCAGTGCAGAGCTCATTGAAGTGCAGTTTCCTACTCCTCCATTCTTTGTTGCTTTGTTTTGTCTCTTCTTGCTCTTATGTGTGGTAAATTCAACTCTTCACTATATTTAGATTGTCCTACAGAACACAAGGTGCTGTAGATATTCTGCAGCTGTTGTTCTGTATTGCAGTGATGTACACTGATTATCTTGAAACAGCCAACTTCCCAACCTATAAACTTCCCTTGGTGATGTTTTAAATTTGGGTGTGAATCCTCTTAGAAGTAGGTTAACTATCAATAGTTGAATAGCTAGAAAAAATGCAACAAAGATGATCCTTGTGGTCAAGAGCTAGTTTCATGTCTAATATAAGAGTTACAGATTGGGAAAGAACTGTTCATCTGTAGTGAAGACAAGGGTAATTTTCTTTTAGGTGTCTGTTGCACTATGGAAGTATTCCCTGTATGAGCTCAGATGTAGAAAAAAGGTGGAAAAAACTGTTATTTAGTAGTATTTAGTATTGTAGTAGCAATATTTTCTTCTTGTCTATCAGAGTGGTCTGATGGAAGGCCAATACTGAGGCTAAAAGACTTAATAAAAATGAAATTAAAAGAATTAAAAAGAGATATGGTGAGCACCTTATTCTTTGGAAGAAATGAGGAACTTATCTCTTAACATCTAATGTTTGCTTCCTCAGTAGGAAATCAGTGAAATGTTGCAAATGTCTTTCTGAACCTCTGATTGAAGAAATGTAGGAGTATGAGAAATGTCAAGATCTTTCATTCTGAGAAATGTTTTTGATCCTGAATAAGTTCAGTCATGCTTGGGTCACTCCTGGTACAAATAGATAAATCTGGTTTTGAAAATGGGTATGGAGGCTCTGGATATTCTAGGTGTTCTATTGTCATGTGTCACTTCTCTTAAAATATATGAATGTAATAAAGTATCTAAGCAAAAGTCTCCCTCACTGCATATTAAACAGTTAACTTATGTGATTTTTTTTCTCCATAAACAGGGAAACTAACTGAACCCTTTCTTGGTGTTCCCCATCAGCAATCTTTTCCAGACTAGGTGGACCTGGTTTCATTGCAGGTGTCACGTTGGCTAAATTTCTTGTCCTTTTTAGATTCTTTGTTCCTAACCAGTCTCCACTGTGTGTGTATCTCTCCCAGTACTAGTGCTATTTTATTCTTACTGATTTCAGGTTATCTCTCATTTTGACTGGTAATTGTGTCAGCCAAAGTCCTCGTACCTCCTCTCAACTCCTGTCATTTAAAAATATCAATGGTTGTGCTCTCTGATTAATTGCCTCAGTAATTAGGAGTTTGATACTACTGAATAATTCTGTTAAACCTTTTAAGAATGTCACTTTAGGGATATATTCCCAGGTTGAGCATGAGTCACTGCTAACTCTGAGCTTTTTTTTTCCTCCCAAATTCCTAGTTATATGTAAATCCTGAGCTGCCCAGTCAGTATCAGTAAGTTATATCCATTGATTCCTCCAAGACATACTTTGCTTTCTCTGTAGTTAATTTATAGCCACTGTTTTGCAGAGGCTTTTGAGACCCATTGAAGGCCCAGACAGGCTTCTGCTGGGAATCTGGTATGCCTGGTACAATCTTCAGAAGTTAGTTAGGCTCATTGACTGTCATTCCTGTATCCTCATTTCTTTCTTCATGGAATGCTGCTTTTGCTAGAGCTTTTATGAGTTTTAATTTCAATTTTCCTTTAAGTTTCATTTTATCCTGGGTCAGTCCTGTGAAAACATTACAGCTTTATGATCCCTTTTTCAGTTCTCGCAGTTGTGTGACCGTGCAGTAACTAAAGTTACTTTTCTGTTGTTTTGCTGATCTGATTCAGTTTTCCTCATTGCCAGAAACAGCACAAGGGAGGGGGCAGAAATATGGGTTTGGGGGGTGAAGTGTAGGATCATTCTCTATGTCTTCACTACCATGATGAATCAGCTGCAGTTAATCATGAAACCACACTGTAAGGATTAATGCTTGTCAGGAATCTCACACTTGAATGACTTTTTTTGGCAGGAAAACCAGTTCTCGGGATACTGTTACCCTGGGAGAGGACATATCAATGAAAATGAGTTTGTGTACTGATGTGTTCTATCTGAATAGGTGCTGCTCTGCTAGGTATACCTTTTGCAGACACTGCAACAAAATAATAGGCATCTTACTCCTGAATGTGGAAATCAATGACTTTTCCTGCTGCTTTGCACCTCTGAGATGAGATCGCAAGGCAATTTATGCACAGAATGTTCTGTCATGGACCAATGCACTTAGCTTTCCTAAAGTATGACTGTGATACACATCAGGGAAGACCATACTCCTCAAAAGGTCTGACTGCATGTTTCTAAACATGTTATTTCTGCAATTTTAGGTGTGAGGGACATCCATGCTGACCATGCAGCCAGTCACATTGGGAAAGCACAAGGCATAGTTACCTGTTTAAGAGCAACTCCGTATCATAGTACAAGACAAAAGGTCTTTCTTCCCATGGACATTTGTATGTTGGTGAGAGAAGCAATTTGTCTGGAATTGAACAGTATAATGTTTCTTCTAACTGTGTTTCTCAGTGCTAGATGTGAGATCATGATTTATTCTGCCAGAAAGAAACAGGACTTTTTTTCTTTAATTTAACTTTCTGCTGTGGCCTAGTAATATGCCATTGTCATGGTTTTGTATCCTTTGGGAGGTGAGAGGAGTGACCTTCAAGAAACTCTAGGGTTTCTTTTTGGGTTTTTGTTTGTTTGGTTTTGGGTTTTGTGTGTTTGTTTTTTTTGGGGGGGTTGTTTGTTTTATTTGTTTGTTTTTATTAAATGTAATATTTTGATTTTCAGGAATTTTTCCATTAATGTATAAAAATGCAACTACGTAATGGGGCCTCGGTTTTGTGGTTTGGGGTTGGATGTGGGTTTTTTCTTTCTTTTTTTTTTTTTTTTTTTTTTTTTTTTTTTTTTTTTTTTTTTTTTTTTTAATTTTCCTATGACCATAAAGGAAGCACTGTGAGAAATTTTATTTCTGAACAATCTTCTTGCATTTCTCTTTGTTACCTTTTCATAAATGTGCTGGTGGTTTTGGGGTTTTTTTGTTCCATATTTGACAGCTATAGGCATACATTCCATACATTGCTGTAGGAGATGGTGTAGTCCTCCAATTTAAACTATACACCTAATTTGCATTGGAATGTAACAGATCGTGCAACTTAAGTAGGATGGGATTAAAGCTCAGAATTTTTCATTAATGTTCTGTGGCTCAATCTGCAGCATCTCAACTGTAATTCCTTCATTTCCAGTCTTTATTTCTAAATGTTAATGCTGTTCTTTTTCTGTTTAACCAAAATTTTTGCAATTATAGTGATGACTAAGGCAGTTGTGTTAGTATTTTCTGAATATAATCTCAATGCAATTAAAAGTTTTGATTTGAAGTTTAGTAATGTAGGTAGTTGCAAAAAATGTAGATGCTAATATAGGTCAGGGTTATAAGACTGCAAAAAGGAGCTGCACCCTGCTTGCAGCCCTTCTGGGACTGCATGGTATGGGAGGCCTTCCAAATTTTCAGCTTTTCAAACATAGCCTGAAAATTCACAGTCATTCCTTGCCATGGAAGGTGTTTTGCAGTGAAACCAAAAAAAGCTTGCATCCCTTCCGTGAAGACTGAGCATCCTGTACGCATTTCAGCTGCTGGCAAGTATTGCAGAGTTCTCCTGGAGCCTCTACCTCCTGTGAAGCCCACCAGCCTACATTTATACAGCTTTCACATGCCTCGCTGTTGTTGAGAGGGACAGGCAGCTGGTGCAATTCTGAATATGCCATATTGTGTCTCACACTGGTATCTGTAGTAAAAGAATAAGGTTGGGGTTGGTTTCTTTTGAGGTTTGGAAGGGTGGTTTTCCAGTGGATCTGGTTTTTTGCTGTTTGGTTTTTGAGGATGGGTTTGTTGGGGTTTTTTTTGCAAGCCTGGTGGTGCACACCAATCCCAAGATTTCAAAAGCCAGCATGGCTTCTTGTGTTAGCTGTTACTGGCTTGCTTCTGCTTAATATCTATTCTTGGTTCATGGTTTTAAAAATTGGGTATCTAAACTGATCTAAATTCCCCAGACTTTAAAATCTAACTTGGTTATCTTACTGACCACAAAGATTTAGGGAGCAAAATCATGCAGAAAGAATCTGTACCAACTGTTCTCTGTGATTTCTTGAATTTTTTTTTAAGCGATTGACCAAAGGAAAAAAAAAAGAATTAAAAAAGAAGGGAGCAGTAGTAAAACATTTAGGCTGTTTTAGTATTTTGTCCTTAGTTTGGTTGCTGGAACATATTTTCGAGAAGTTAAAATGGAAAATTGATATTTATGGTGGTTTTTTTCTCTTTTTGATTTTGTTTTTCCTTCCTATGTCTAGCATGGAGTTTCACAAGAGGATTTCATAAGGGGCAAGCAAGAGAAAAATGTGAGAGATGTAATTTATGACATTGCCAGCCAGGCCCATATTCATCTAGAACATGTAAGATTCCTTTCCTTTTCTTTATTTAAATAAACATAACTGATGCTAGTCTTCTTATGCATTTGTTGTTAGATGACTTAAAACTGCATACTTAATTTCTAATATTTTACCTTTAATTATTCTGGGAGTTTAAATTAAAAAAACCCCAACCTTTAAATATTACTACTTCTTTATGAATATTATACTTATCTTTATGTACAGGAGGCAGTTTACTCACAGCCAGGTCCAATTTGTTATATATAAATGCTACCTAAGAGACTTATTACTGGAAGAGAAACTTCAAGCAGACTTTCCTAAATGCAGCTATGTGCCAGCATGGGATCAGCACCATAGAAAGCACCTCTGCATATGGTATTTCGCAGCACGGTGGAATGGCTGCCAGGAAAACAGAGCATGTTGCCTTTAACTGCTGGTTGGTGTGTGTGGGAGAGGGGATTCATTCCCTAGCATGACCAGCCATGCCCAGAATTAAGTTGGGAAAAATGCTTTCTGTTTATATCTTTTCTGGCACACAGCCAAGTGAATTATGAAAGACTTTATTTGCTTGGAACAGTGAATTATGAGCCCTGAAGGACTGCAGAGTTCTACTCTATTTTTTCTTTCATGTTTTTATTTTAGCTACACTCTGAATTGCTTGTTGGTGCATAGTACAAAAGCAAAAGAATGTTTCATCAGCAATGCTTGGTCTGCCTCCATCTGGAAAACAAAACTTGCAAGAAGCACTGTAAAGAGCTGCTTATGTCTACGAGTACATGTCTGTGTATACTTTAAGTATTGCCCTCAGTGCTTCCAGTCAAGGTAGTCTGGAAAGATACCATTTCAGAGTAAAGAAATGCCAGATTTATCTCTGCATTTGCACCATTGATATAATCCTCAATGACAGCATTACCTGTGATCACAGGATTTTTTTGCAGTAGAAATAGGAGAGCCCTTTTCTGAAGGTAAAATGAGGGATCTCTGGTTTGTTCAGTCAGATGTTAGTTAATTGATTAATGTTTTTATTTTATGTTAATAGTATGTATATATTATAACAGCTCTCCAGTACCTACAGAGTCCTACAAGAGAGCCAGAGAGGGACTTTTTACAGGGGCATGTAGGACAAGGGGGAGTGGCTTTAAACTAAAAGAGGGCAGGTTTAGATTAGATGCTAGGAAGAAATCCTTTAATGTGAGGGTGGTGAGGCACTGGCACAGGCTGCCCAGAGAAGCTGTGGATGCCTCATCCCTGGAAGTGCTCAAGGCCGGTTTGGATGAGGATTTCAGTAACCTGGTCTATAGTGGGAGGTGTCCCTGCCCATGGCAGTGGGGGTTTGAACCAGATCATCCCTTCCAACCCAAACCATTCTATGATTTTATGCAGCCTTGAGCTTTATTTTTTATAGACTAATTCTAATTTGCATTAATGCATTCCTGTTCACACTGTTTCTTCTGATGTCTCAGTTTTTGTGGTCACATGCCCAGGAAAACTGTTTATTCCATTTAGAAGTAGGGAACAGAGACAAAGAAAATGCAACATCAAAACTGTCCACTACCTTTGTTCAAGCTGAAATATTTTGATTTTTCTTCTTTTGTTCTCCACCCGTTATCCCATGATGCACAGCATTTAAAACCCATTGACTTTGGTTGCAGTTGTGGCTTACAAAAATGCCAAGTGCCTGGTCTGAAATGCCTCATATCAGGAATGGGAGGAATGGGAACGAGTAATGTGTATTTATGGTCTACATCTTTAAAATTTGGTTCCTGGTATTGTATGGATACTTTGGGACAGAAGCAGGAAGAGAATTCAGTTCTTCAGAACTTTTCAGATAATTTGATAATTCATACTGCCTTGGTCCCCTCACTTCCAGAATGCCTACCAGCTTCTGAAGAGAACAGGCCTCCTTTCTTCCCACTGCATTCCTAGAGCCCTGCCCATGTTATACACTGGGAGGGTCCTGAGGAAAATATGCAATGTGATCATGTAATTGGAGACTATACAGAAAAGTATAAACAGGAGGAAACCAGATTAGGGCAGCATTAGCATTTCATTCAACTGAATGTTTGTCTTGGCACCCTCTCCCCTTTTTCTGTTAATGGATAGGTTATATCACCTTAATTAAAATTTAAAAATTCCTCTTTGAATACTTGCTCCATCATCATCAGTGAAGAATAGTTGACAGTGCAGGATCTCTATAGAGTGTTCAAAGCACTTGAACTGGCTATAACTGGCAGCAGTAACAGGATATTGGCCTCCTTAATAATCAGATGATCTTTGTTAATGCAAGGACAAAGGTACTTTCTCCCCTAATGGCTGAAATGGGCTTTAGCTGGCAAGGTTTGCTGGGTATTTCAAGACTTAACGTGAATGTAGTGGGCTGGTGCCTTTAAATGCATCTGTCCTCCTGTATAAAATCACCATCTTGTTTTGCCTGAGGGTCTTTTGAGCCACTTATGCTTTGTTTTAGTTGGAATTAGAGAGTAGGGTAAAGTTTAAACCTGAAGACAGGTTTCGACAATCTCAGCATTTGTTACACAAACCACATATTTTAGAGGATGAGGACAACGGTTACCAGCCCCATTTCACAGCCACAAGACATATAATCCTAAAATGCAGAATTGAGTCTCAGCAATATTATAGGAAGCATATTGTAGTAATGTGGCCCTTAATCTTGGCAGAAAAATTTCTGGAGTGTGGTCAGGGACTGATGACCAGCAGAGGGCAAAATAAGATAATGAAGATTGTAGTTTTCCTTAGGAGTTCTGTGTTTTATTAGAATAAAAACATATAATAAACATTCTGTCAGTCCCACAGTCCCCCTCTGAAAGCCTGTGAATACATTTACATGTTCTCCTCCTTCCTCTTAAGCACCCTTTGTTAAAAGAGAGTGTCCTTTTGGCTTTTTGCATTTATCTCAGTTATGCTACATCATTATGGGCTCAATTTACCCATTGGAAGATAACATGCTTTCTGAATGACGTGCAACCCATTCTGGGTTAAGAAGGTCAAGCAAGACTACTTTTTTTTTTCATCTCACAATTAATAATAGTAAGGCAAGATGTTAGATCAGGGAAGAATATTTTTCTTTTTTAGAGATAGACATACAAAAAGTTTTAAAATAATTTGCCTTCTAAAAGATTAAGTATTTTTTACTTCCAAAGTTTCAGGCTGATTTTTCTCAGTTGCCTGGAAAAATTTGTGAAAAACTATCAGAAACTTATACACTCTTGTCAGTATTTGTAAAGGGTTGGTTTGTTTTAACCTGTAAGAAAAGGCAAAACAAGGAGGGATTTTGTGTTTATAAATAAACATTACAGGAAGACTTGCTTCAGCTCTGTTGAGGAACCTGAGCTGAACACGAGTTTAAATTGTAGATTTGATTCAGCCTTGCTTTAGATGTGATATGTAAATACTGAGGAACTGAGATAATTTTGAAGTCCCAGAAATGCAATGGGAGACTTTACAACTGGGCTTCTGGGGCTGATGGCAACATTGGACCAAAAAGATGCACTGAGAGAAGTGCATTTCTGGTCTTCCATAATTTCTGTCTATTGGCATGCAGAGAGTTATTTGGGTTGTGGGGTGGGGGAAAGGTTAAATTGTTTATTAAACCAGATGCAACTTGGGACTTTGTTGGAACAAGGGATGCTAATTTACATGATTTATAATATGTAATCTTTAAGTCTGTCAAACCACGTAAATATTTTAGCAGGCCTCTCCCAGTATTACATACTTACTGTGTAACTGCTTTGTACACAGTGAGGGATGGTGCTGGCTTGCACAAGGAAAAGTTACACATTCAGGATGTCAAAATAAAAAGGGATGAAGCTCATAAAACAGTTTGTTGCCTCTAACCGTTCTACGTAGTACTTGATGTTTAATCTGAAATGTTAAATTCTTCTGATAAGTACGTTTGTTTTTGTTTTGTTTCCCCCCCACCTTACCCCATTTACTTTTAGGCTAGATCTTTCAGTAAGAAAGTTCCCGCGAAGGCGTATCCTGCTTTTTTCTGTACGGTGGGTGTGATATCATGCACTCTTTAAGTGATGGACTCATTCCTCTGCTAATGTTTGTGAAGAGTATCAAATTAAGCATGGTTAACTCCTGCTTCGTGTGTCTGTTTTGGGAGGATGTAATACCTAAAACTCACAAAGATCAATCATAATGTGTGCCTGACTGTGGAACCTTACAGTTTTGATCAACACTTTTAATCCTTCTCCTTTAACTACATCATTTCACCCAAGATGTCTGTATATTCATAGACTGCCATTCTGATGCAAGAGCCCCAAATCTTGTCTATTTTTATAATTTGCTGTTTGGTCTAGTAAAAGGTAATGCTTCTCTTCACAAAACCTGATTTTTTTATATGCTTGGAATGTGATGGTTACGCTACCACTTAATAACACAAACTGTCAAGCCTTTTTGCAGTTTCTCATTTGGTTTCATGTATTGTTTTTTTAAACTTAATGCCCAATTATTTGTATGCACCATATGGATTAAGCTTTTTTTCTTCTTTTCTAGGTTGCTTTAGATGATTTTTTACATAACATGCAAAAAGTGGACTTCAATATATTTCATCCAAGCTTACAAAAGAAGAGTACATTATTACCGTTGCATTTGTATATTAGATCTTGGAGAAAAACATATTAAAGTTTGTTTTGTTTTTTTTTTTTAATATGGGTTCCGAGTGCTGAGTTTTTTTCTTTAATGTCTCAACTTGATAGAATTGTGAAGTGTCTAACTTCACGCTTCTGCAAAGTGCAGTTCTGGGAAACAGCAGATGCACATGAACTGTAGCTGTCAGCTTGCTGGCAGTAGTTAAGTTTGTTCTTGGAATTTGAGGCTGATATCTCTGTTTCGCGTCTGCCAAGTCATATGTCCTTGTCTGAGATTACTTTTCTTGTCTTTCCTGTAATAACAGCAATATGACAGAATTTTTCTTGGACAAATTCTGTGCTAATGGATACTTCTGACAGTTGTCACTCTTCACTGAAAAAAACAAAAAAACCCCTCCAATAACCAAGCCAACAAACAAAAACTGCTTGCTTTATGCCCAGAAGCAGTTACAGTAAATGCCCTATAAATCAGCTAAGCAGTTCTATTCAGTACAAGGAGCAGGCTTCTTCCAAGTAGTGGTGATGCTTCATACTTGGAAGAATGAGCATGTATATTTGAATGCAAGAAAACTGTCAGGAAAAGCTTTAGCTGTTTTAATTATGTAGTATTTATGTAGCATTTCAGAATGGTGAAATACAGCTGTAGTGCAGAGTTTAACTGTGTGTTGAGAATGAGCATTGATGTGACTGTGGGTAGTGGGAGGATAGCTTTACAACATAGGAAGAGAACCCTATACAGTTTTTGTCTCTGGCTTTTTCTCTCTGCTCTGGGCTTGGCTGTGCCTTCCTCTTGGCCTTTAGTCTCTCTGTTGTTGCCCACAGATATCATTGCAACATGGGTTCAACATCCCCTTTGCTCGGTATTTACCATGTCTCTCAGGACACCCTCCTACGTGGCTTCCCCGAATTCCTTTACTTTGGTACTACGAAGAAACATATTCTTGAACGCTTCAGGTCATTTTACACTGCCCTGTCTGTAAGGATACTGCTCTGTTTTTTTGGTGGGAAACTGCTGGGAGCTTTGTACTCAGCATCTCTTAGGATCAGGGTAAATATTTCTATTTGATTTGTTTTATGGTAAAATAATGGTTCCTAACATCCAGCTTGATTCAATTGCACAAATCCGGTAGCTTGTTTTGCCGTCATCCTTGTTCTATTAAATAACTGCTTTTCCCAGAGATTTTTTTTAATCACGGTTAATCTCCCCAGATGCTTGGCTGCATAACAACATCCTGTATTTCAGTGTACAATGCTACGTAATGAACTTCTGAGAACAAGATTTGTGGCTTTTTTAATCTCAAACTTTCAGCATGGTAGAAATCTTTGGTGGTTTTGTTTTACGTGTTTGAAGTTGGTTTGTGATACAGATCTTGGTTAATTTTGCAGTTTCTTATTCCCAAGTAAGAAATTTCTTTTTGAATTTGTTCAGCTCAGGATCCTGGTTTCTGTATTACTGGAAGTGCAGTAATCGAGGTGATATGAACCTAGAAGAATGTATGTACTGGATTGGGAGTATAATGGCTATTTTTTTAACATGAAATCCTAACGGGCTCTGTCCTCTTTTCCAGTCAGCTGCTGTATCTTATTGGTGTTCTTGAATGTGGCAAAGAGATCTGGTGAAAAGAAAATGTTTCTTTCTTATGCAGGCACTGCAGCTCTTCCTGCCAAACGCCGAGCAAAGGCTTAGGCTCTGTAGCTCCCACCAGGCCAGCTGCGCACTCGCTCTGTTTATTTTGTGTTCTGGAGCAAGCATTACAAATGTCTCTTTCTGCAGTTGGTCCTTGTTTTGTTCCAAATGTGCTGAGTCAGGATAATTGAGGCAGCCCTGTCTGTCTTCTCAAAAGGAATCACTCTCCTGTAAAGTTAACTTTTGGCAGGAGTGCAGTACAGTAAAGAGGAAGAGAAGGGAAACCATGCAGTATCACCAGCACCTCAAGTTGCTACAGTGATATCTTCCTTCTAGGCCACAAGGCCAGTGCTTTGCTTTGGTGTTGAAGTAGAACAAATCTTGACAATGTGTTCACAAAGGTATCAATGGCTGAGCTGATTTGTTCTTGTGTAGAAAGAAGCCATGTGATGCAGTGATTGGTTAGCATGGTAAGGAGGACTTATCGGTGAATTAGTAAACAGGATATGGAATAAATAAATTCAGGTTATGACTTCAGTCACAAAGAGTTTTGAGTGACCTCAGAAAGTAAAGCAGCATTTCGAATTGCAAATGACAGGAGGCTGCTTAAATAGGCAATCTGTGTCTCCTTTATATCCTTCAGGGAACAGCTCTCCCTCAGATGGCCATGCCTGATTTTTCCTTTAGGGACAATGTTGTGAATGGAGGCATTAAATACTTGTCAAACAAGGTAGTCTGCTTTCATTAGTATTGTCTCTTTTTATTTCTTGATGGAAGTGGGTGCCATATAAGAAATGTCCTATTTCTCCTCTTTGTTGTAATCTGGCTTATAGTTGTTTTCACCAAGTGTTGCTGGCTCAGCGTTGCATTATGCCTGGTTTCAGTTGATGTACTGAAAGAAGTTTCTTTCTTCTGTTCTTTTTTTCTGTGGCTGCTACAATTACTGAGATGTGTTAAACATAATTTATCTATGTGGGAGCTGTACATCATTTGTGTATGTCAAGTCAAGTATCACAGACAACTGTGGGCTGCAATTTCTTTCTTTATTGCCTGACAAAAAAAAAAAAAGACAAATCAGGAGTCAGCATGAATACAGCTTGAGAACCCTGTTTACTTTTTCATCAAAAGGATCAAGAATCTGTACATACGTACAATTGTTAGTAATATTTAGGCAATATATGTTTAGGCTTATGCCATCGCAAGATCTTTCTAGATCACTAGTTTCAAATGTGTCCTTGAGCACCCAAAATAGAGAGTAGGCTAGAGAGACTGCAGGAATCTATGTCAGAGGACTGTGGATCTCTATCAATGGTACTTTCAACAATGAGAAAGAAGACAGTTCCTGAAGAGCCACAATTGAAAGCTGGAACTGTTCTTTTCTGCACTCTGAATAAGTACTTGTTAAAATCTCTGTCTTCATGTAGTAGAGCAGCTCCTGACTGGCTCACACAGTCACGCTGAATAGGAGATATTTTTTGGTTTAAGCTAAAGGTAGAATTAGAAAACCACAGAAATCAAGTCTAGTCACAAAAGCTCACAAGCCCTGAGATAACAAACAAATCCCTTCTCATGCTAAAACACATCATTATGCTAGATGAGAGAATGGTGCATTTTCAGGAATGGCCTTCCTGAATCAAATAATCCTCACTGCTGCACAATCAGGACAGAGCATCCATTCTAGCTCTTTCTTGGATGTGGAAGAAGAGATCGAGATGAACAGGGCCAAAGAGAAGAGGCTTCCTCTATTTTTTTTTAGGGCAGACTAGGAGACATAAAGAATTTTATCTATTCTCAGGACAAGCATCTGGAAAGACAAAACTTATTCAAAGATCTGAATATACAACCTATCCAAATCAACACAATATAGGGACTATATTAGCATCAAACTGTCATAAGCAGAAAGCTCCTCACATGTCAAATTTAAGATGCTTGGGCCATGCTAGTTAAAAGGAGTCTGGTGAGACTAGAGGAAAATCTCAAATTCTTGTAATGTTTTCATACTTAATTTCTTTTCAAGAACGGAATGACTACTATACAAGTGTTACCATGTGTGAGTGCCTCCAAGGGGAGAAAGATGAAGCAGCAGACTGAGAAAAGTGCCCTCCTTTTGCAGCCCCCCACCCCTGAAAAGGTTCTGGAGAAGGACTAGTGACAGACCGCTTTGAGAGGCCTGTGTGGGTGGACTCACTGCCTTTTCCTGCTGGAACTGCCAACAATTATGCCAAATACAACAGTGGTTTTGCAATAGGGATAAATGTCTTCCAGACTGAAATGAAGAAGTCTTGTAACACAGGCAACTAAGCAGTAAAGAGTAATGCTAAATAAGTGTGATGGTCACAGTGCACACATACATAGGCATAATGCACATGCATAACAGTGTGTGACAGAAAGTGCTATTAGACAAATCAATTTACCTTCACTAATTAGGTTTTGTCATCATCTTCCTGATGGCTAAGAACAGAATATAGTTTTGCCATGTGAGATACACTGATGTGCTCAGTTACCACAGCGATAGAACGCAACACTTGCTGAAGAAAAAAAGGGAAATTACAGTTCAGAATAGTGCAAGATACACCCTACTTTCTTATATTGTTAGATAAAAGTGGCACTTCAGAGAACTTATCTCTCAGGATTTAACTGGAGAAAATGAGTTAATTTTTCATACTTAAGAAAAAAAGAAGGCTAAAATTTCTGATAATATTTTCCTGCTCATCAGTCTATGACATCGACAATCATAATTGCTGATCTACTGCTTCCAAAACAGCAGGGAACGACAGAATCCACTTTGTTATAGAGTAGCTGCCACAGCAAAGCCACAGTTGCATTTTGTTAGAAACACAATACAGGGCCCTGGAAAATGTGTCTTTGGAGGCCAAGGCTACAGGTCTTCCAGATACAGCTGTGCCAGGCAAAAATGGAAGCATCCTTAGGTGCTCACCTTTAGCCATTAGCTGAATGTGTACTGTGCCTACAGCACTGCTGGCAGAACACGCTGCTCAAGTCTGAAGTAGATCAGCAAGCAAAGTTACAGCAGTTAGCTCCTACCTTTCAACCCAAGAGTGAATAGCAGAGTGACTGTTACAAATTACCAGTCCCTCAGACAGTCCCTTCTGTTACCAAAGATGTGATAATCTCTGAAAAAGCACACTAATACACAGCGACGGCACTGGTGGAGCTGTTCAGTAGTTGCGTTATGTAAGGCTGTCAAGATGTAGCTTAAAAGAGCAGCCACACCAAATAAAAATATTACTGCCACACAACCGCTTGCCATTAGCTCGGCCTCCCTCAGATCAGCTACCACGAGATTTGAACATTCCCCTCAACTTTGTTCTACACCACGTGCAGAGAAGACACAAAAACCACATACGTGCTTTCAGCTGCTGCAGGCACAAAAGGTCCGGCATGACAGAGGTGTGTGGCCAACATCCCGTCTGAAACTATTTCTAGTTGCTGCCACATAGGTGACTGCACGCTCTTCTATTTTTTCATCAAGTGCAGTGTCTGTTGCCAGGCAAATAAATGAACACACAAAAACCCCAACCCAACCAACTAACCAAAAAATCCCCATACAAAACCAAGCAACTCCTTTTTGGAGGTTCACTGAGCTTATTGACTGCAGTGAGTTCCAAAGAGGCTCTCTGGTACAAGCAGCAAGTTCCAGTGGCACCCACATTAAGGAAACAAGTTTTCCAAAAGATATGTTTCATGACTCAAGCTCTCTCCTTGCAGCTGAAATATCTATAAGTACTAGTGGGCAATAACTTTGGAATAGGTGCTGTTAGCACCCTGACTCTAAAGAAACCTGTGTGGCTTCTCTTCCTTAGGAAGGCAGCCTTAGAATGTTAGTTTCACCTCTACAAATTGGGTCACAGCTTAAAAATATGACAGAAATTGTGTTGACAAGCCCTTCACCAAAGGGGATTCACTTTGGTCACATTTTTCCCATACAGGAGAAACATCCAAGTAGATGGATTGCATCTTATCATTACAGGTAAACAGCAGCCTCTTCTGCTTTGACCAACCTCCAGCACTTCAACCTAGCAGTTTCCTGAATTTTCCTCATGGCAATATCCCCTGAAGGGCATGTCCTTCTTCTACCCTCTCCGATTCATGCAAAGGAATCTCTTTTACCTCCTGCAGCTAGGCCCATTTTTGATCCTTTCCCCAGTTCTAGCCTAGGAGAGTAACTTCTCTCCTACAGGAGACTGGAAAAACCTTGTAATGCTATAACTCTGTGAATGCAAAATTATAACACTGGATTTTGAAAGAATTTGAGAAAATCAGATATTAGTATTTTATCCAGGATGAGCTCTAGGTCACTAAACTTCAGGTTTAAAGTCATCACTGCTGAAAACCAAGGACCTTTTCTGGTTTCTAGTAAATGAGAACATGCAAACAGCAAACCAAAACAATCCTCTCCAAATCCATCATAAAAACTGCTAAGAAAATAATAACCAACAGTACTAGCAGATTGTCAGGGAGCTATTTTGAAATTTAACAAGCCCTTTTACGTTGAAAACTAGGAAGGGAACCCAGTCTCCTAAAATTTACTTTGCCAAAAGCAAGAGCAGCAGTTTACATCAGCTGTGGAAACGTCATAGTCCATTACAGGTTTAATTGTTTCACAGCTTAAAAATACCTCCCATAAATTGTTTGAACTGGAATTGGTTAACAACCAACTTAATTTACAGCTGAACAGATAGCAAGAAAACAGTATTAACAAAATTGAAATTAGACTTACTCTGAGCTCAGAGTAATCCACAAATGCTCCCTGTGTGTAAATTTTCATTGCTCTCCCATCACATACTCGTAGTTGCTCATCCACCAGAGAACACTGCACATGAGTCATACGGTGTACCCATGAATCTGGAATGGCACAGATGTCTTAAGCCGGGATTTCTCTGTCTGGAATATGGTACCAGTGAAGCATCATGTACCTGGAATAGATACTTCTGCAATAACAGAACTGTTACCATTTTTTCACTTTTACTTTCTGGCGAAAGTCAGTGCTCCATAAAAGCTAGAAACTGGGACACACAAAAAAGCACTAGAGAAAAAAGGCAGGGTAAAACAAAGCAAAAAGCAGTCACATTGCCATTATAGCACTGCATGGTTAAACTCCAAATAATTTAGGTTAGGAAACACATCTTGCACCACAAACATTAGGACATAATTCTTCTATTCCATAGGTGACTCTGAGTCCACACTGCTTGAAGTATGGTTTTTTAACTTACGCTGCTTATTACTGGGAAGATATACAAGAAAAGAAAGTCAGGGATTGTTTTTCCATTAGGTACCATTTGAAAAACAAACTGCAGAACCAGAAAACCAGCAGCTGCAGAAAAACATAAATTTGGCCAGCATACCTAGAGGGGCAGCACCATTATGCAAGAAACACCATGTGCTGGTTTGAGAGACACCACAGAAGTAACACAATGGAATTCAAGAAGGCTAAAACCTCTTGAACAGTGTAACCCTCCTCAGGAAGAAAAATGAGCTAAATTACTTGTTTGACCTTCCACTTAAAATTTGAACCTCCATCTTCAGAAGTTCCAGCTCTTTGGCAATCCAGCATTTCACTCTCCTCTCTTAGGTCAGAATATTCAGGAGGCATGACACTCTTCTTTCCAGAAGGAGACTTAGCCACAAAGATCACTCTCTCATTTTCTGACCAATTTTTCTATCATCCTTGAACTACATTTTCATCTTCTTCCACAGGAATATTCTGGGAGGATAAAAAACTGAACATTCCTAGGAAAAGAGGGAAGAACATAGTTATCTGAACTGGTTACTGAGATATTATTGCCCTATTGAGACATCAAGATTACCAGGTTAGGAAGCATCTGTCCTTCGAGAACTGTGTGCATATGGTACACAGCAGACTTGGGGTCCACATGCTTTTCTTTGCATGATGTGGAGCGCTGGGTTATAAACCCGGTGAAGTTCCCCAGTCTCAAGTGGGAAATGTACAATGCAATGTGATACAACACTTGTGTACAATACTTCTAATTCAGCAATTCTGTTCCTCTTTCCTCTGTCCTCTTTCTTAATGTAGGCAGTTGGCAAAGCTGGTATCGGGCCCAAAAAAGGAAAACCATAAGGAAAGTAAGTAGTGATAATCCCTTAGGATTCCTTTTTAGCCTGGTTTTTGCTGAGAAGGATTACATTTGGTCACTGTCTAGTTAACTTGGTCCCCAAACTTCTGAGCTCATCAGCCAAAGTCAGCTGAAGTTGTGAGGATAGCTCTTTGATTTTCCTCTGAGTTTTATGAAAAGAGGTAGGTGCAGATAGGAGGGGATGCTATTGATTCCTTTCAAGGTTGGGAAGAATGCAGTGTGAATTCCTGCCTTCTCTTAGGCACTAGAGCATCTATTCCTTAGCTGAGTTTTTTTTGTGACATGGATTTTCTGGAGTCTGCAAGACACAGATTAATTGGCAATCATTCTTTCAAGAAGGAGGAAATATTACAGTGTTATAAATAAGAGTTAAAAAGTAATTTGGTCACAAGATGCGCAAAACCACTGGTGTGGGCAAGGTGTCCCTGAAGTTGAGCATTTTACCTTGGAACCAAATTGCTGTGCTGAGTACACACAAGCAGGCTTGGTGCTGTGAGGTCGCTTGCTGGCAGCAGGGAAAATCCATTAGCTCCAGGCAGCATATTGACAGCCACAGGCTGAATGTGGGAAGCGGTCCGAAATGCCCTTTGTGTGTAGTAACTCAAGTTCTGTTTGTGCAACGTAAGTTGTTATTTACTGAGCTCAAACTTAGTTTTATAGTTGGTGTTAATCTGCTTTCCAACTTGAAAGTGCTCTTAAGTCTTTCCTGTCAGATGCATCTCAACTCGTTTTGCAGAAATGCTTATTTGTGAAAGCCAGAGTTTTACTTTGGGTCTAGAAATGGTATAATATCTGAATTCTTTCTTCTCCTTGTGTCCTATGTTGAAAGCAGGCAGAAACATGGTAATTTTCGTGTAGTTTAAGAACATAAAACCTGTGAGTGGTATGGTCATTCAAGTTCTGATGAAGATGATTATGCTTCAATAGGGTATTTTTTTTTAATATAAATGAATGGCTGTGGTTACAATTTCCTCCTTCCAAGTCAGTCTGGATAAAACAAACACTTCAGGAGCCTTTGTCTTGTCCACATACTGCAGCCAAAGACAGACACTCTATAGGCAGGAGCTCACTCCACTTCTGTAATGGTTTCTTTTGTCTTTCCCTGAACTTGGTAGAGCAAGTCTTCCGTGGAAGCCTGTAAGGAAAGCTGGAGTGGGTGGTCTGGGGCAGTGGTTACTTGGTGTTTCAGTTGTGCCCCTGTGTTGCATTCTTTCAGATAAAATCTCAGGTTTATGGAATCAGCAGATTTGCATCATTTTCTGCTAGATCAGTGTCTGTTCCAGGCACAGATTGGCCAGAGAAGTTGGGTACCCCATCCCTGGAAGTGTTCAAGGCCAGGTTGGATGGGGCTTTGGGCAACTTGGTCTAGTGGAAGGTGTCCCTGCCCATGGCAGCAGGTTTGGAACTAGATGTTCTATATGGTCCCTTCCAACCCAAACCATTGTGTGATTCTTGAAAAACAGCTTCTCAGGAGATAATTCCATCCCCGCTTAGCAAGGCTGAGGCTGTTTCATGTAGTGTCAGCTACATGAACTGTATTGACTGCTTAGGAGATGTATGGTACAAGGAAGCAGCTGCACTCGAGTGACTCTTCAGAGCGTATTGTTTATAACAATAAATGACTATCTAAAGTCATGACTATCTATAAAATGTTCTCTCTTTGAGATGTGCTATGTCTCTTCTGTAGCTGGAATTTGTCCTATTAAAATCTGTCATCTCTGCTACATTCATTAGCAAGTGCACAAGCAAGCGGTGTCTTTCCAGTCCCTGGTGGACCATAGAATAGACAACCTCTACAATTTAAAAAGGAAAGAAAAAAAAAAGGAAAAAAATTCATATAAGAAAACCCATAATGGAATAGTACCTATTAAAACCCCCATCCCTAAAACACACAACTCTGCTCTCCTAAACGGAACACTTCATGGATAAGACAGCAATAACAGCTAAAGTGTGAGAAAAGTCAATAGTGATCCATTCAACTAGGCACCAAACGAATCAAGAAGATAATTTGGATGTACAAAATCTTGAGAAAAGATAGTAGCATCCCAGAAGGACACTTCCAAAACTTCTGACAAACCAACAAGGGTGGTTACAACCCACTGGAGCCAAACAAGAACAAACTTTAGTGCAGAATCTGCGACTGGGCTAACTTAGGAATCACCAGTTCATTTTTAAATGATACAACGAATATTCATTCTTTTTTTCACAAAAGGCAATATTTGAGAGTAAAGCATTTAATTCCCCCTTAAAAAGCTTAAAGTTACTGGATTTGGCCTCCTTTTGTGGGTGACTAAGGAGTGGAAGTATTCTAAAGCTGGGAAGGTATTCTGCATTTCTGCATCTGTCAGCTAGAAAAGCCAATACACTGCTGCTTCAAAAAGATTTTCAATGAATAAAGAAACAAAACACAGATTTTCTTTTTATTGTTTGTAATACTTTTTAAAGTTACTGAAAGCAAAGAATTTAAAGTCCTATTTCAATATGCCATGACTGAGTTTTGCTGACCAAGAATATATAAAGCTAAGAATTAAATCTCTAATATTAGTTTTCTTTTGTAACACAGAACTCACTTATCTGTATAAGAAGCAGAGAGATTTTATTTTAGCCCAAGGACAACATATGCTGCAAGGTTCTAGTTGCAAGTCCCATCAATTGTAAAACTGATATTTGAGCACCTAAAAAAAAAAAAAGAGAGTTGGTGGGAGAGAGAACTGACTTCCATGGAACAAACTACAGTTGACTACCACTAGATCATTCCTTCCCACTTACAAACTAACCAAGTCCACTTGTGCAGAAAACTTGAAAAAAATCACCAACTCCAGCTTTTAAAGCCAAGACACTTTTAAAGGATGGTCTTGCCACACAGTAAATCTCTGAACCTACAGATATCCTGGCTTCTATCCATTTTTAAAAATTAGTTTTTAGTGCTGCTAAAAAAAACCCCGTCAACACTGCCAACAATATTTAAACATTTTTTTATGTTAAAGAAAGCTACAACTTCGGTAGGTTCCATCAGAAATTATATGCCAGCACAAAGGAAAAGTTCACAGCAATTTTCAAATTGCTTGAGAGAAATCTGTAAGCCAAGAGAGTTGTAGACAGCCCATTACTGAAAGCTTTCATAAATAATGCAAATGTCTCACTGACACAATGAAGTAAAAATACTTACTGAACCATCTATTTGCATTGGCTCAACACCAGACAGACTTGCTCCAATTTTCATGTGATCCTTGTGAAGATCTGAAGTGAAAATGCAAGCCCTGAAACAGCTCTTTGTAAAGAGTGGCCATTGAAAAATCATAAGGCAATTCAGAAAGCATAGTATAGGACATGTATTGCAGTATTATCATTGCTATATCATGTCTTCTGAAGAATATATTTCCTCCACCCTTAAAGTGTAGCTGTGGCAAAACCATAACAGTAAGGTTATAATTAAACAGCAAAAATAAATGTTATTTTAGATGGCACTATGCTTCGAGAGAAGTTTTTTCGGCTAAATTAAAATGGCAATTAAATAATTTATGCGAAATACCCTACTTATACAAAATAGTAAAATAAATTAGTATATACTCTGTTTAGTGGGACATCCCACAGTCTCCCACCCTTTGCCTTCTGTGTCTTCTGTGTAGAATCCATTTTTTTTGCAAGACTGCATCTGCAGTACTAAGATACAGAGTTAATATGTAAGAGCAAAGATAGATAAGTACAAAAAACTCCATTGAAACCAGCACACATGATCATTATGCCATTTCAGTACAGTGAGCACAAAGCAAGAGTCACTGACCCTTAGCCAAGTTTTTCAACACTACTTAAAAATTAGGTCAAATATTTACTTTTTTATAGAGAGATTTAAGAAAAAGTGTTTGAGGGTTTGCAGACATACACTGTTACAAGGTTTATCTTCCCCTCTTGCTGAACACAGTAAAAAAAATACTTCATTTAGGAGGAAAAAAAGAATTCTGAAGATTATAGGAAGACAATAGAAAGAAATTATGGCAGTCTTTCATAGCACTGAAGTTGCTCTGCATGATAGCATTAAGTCATTTTTAGTTCACAATCTTCTTCAGACAACAGGTTGCTCATTCTTCTATTAATTGGAGTTAAAGTCTTGTGCTGATATTCCATGACTATATGTGCTAGAAAAAGCATGTCACTGCTGTAATGCTTTGCAAACCTTTCAGAAAACAATGTCAATTTGGACTTCACGAAGAGAATTAAGATGTGGACACACAGGCAGAAACACTAGGACTGTTTTACTCTGCCTGCATCCAACCTTCTGCTGTATCTTAACCTGACGTTATAAAATTATTTTGTAAGCATGAAAGAAAAGTTAATTAACCATGAAGCTGCTTCTGATGTCAAGAATAATTGATTTAGAGGGCAAATTAAATCTACCACAGGTCACAACATAAACTGATCATTTTGATTCACAAGAACCAGCCCAACCCATAAATAAAAGATGCTCTGGTGTGAAGATCTCTGTGCAGCTGGCAATCCCAACACGAAGGCACTGGTGGCCAATTTAAACATTGGGTGTGCCAAAATTCTTTACGCATGAAGCACCTGACAAATACATCCTGCACACACTCTCAGACCTGGAATTCTTAAACTGCCACAAGCACCTGTTTCTAAAAACCTTGGGTTAAACAGCTTGGTCCACACCTTATATAAATTAGTACACTAAGAATAATCACAGGACAACTCAGGCTGAACACCAGGTGGATTTGGGGAGAAGCAGATGACCAGGCTGCCGTGCTGTAGGGGGGGTGGACACACTTGCTCAGCCCTCCATGTCCTGGTCCCTTCCCTGTGCCCATCTTCCATACCAGGAGAGACCCAGCTCAGTGATATGGCTCGTATCTATCTGTGTTCCTGTCTGAACAGGGACAGAAAATTCAGATGAAATTCAGAAAGTTCAGTGGGTTCATTATTACTCCACTACCAAACTATTTTTATTCCCCAAAAAAGCCAATCACATTATTGCTCAATAATGTGAAATTTGGGAAATGAAACTGGTATATTGCATGTAAGTGAAATTTTCTTTTAAAAAAAAGCCCCTTGGGCCATTTCCAGAGCACAGATTTTGGCACCAGTGTGACACTACAAAGAGCATGGTGCTGTGCCCTCTTCTCCGCAGCTCCCCAGAACACCCCAGCCACCTTTCCCCTCTGTACCATCCATCAGTAGCTGCAAATCTTAGAAGGATCAGGTTAGCTACCGAGTAGCTGGCTAGATTTGGAAAATATTGGTCTGGATTTTGCTCTATTGATGTGTAGACCTTAAAAATGCTAACACAAGATGGAAGGGGCTCCTCGTGTTGACAGCGTTTCTGGTGGGAGCCGTTCAGGCACACCTGCCACACTTTCTCCATGCTGACCAGGCAACTCTTCGGACTGAAAAATGTTCCTAATTCCCTTCCGTGCGCTGCATAAAACTTTAAGTACAGAGAGGTAGTTAAAAACGTGCCCACACTGAATTACAGTTGGGAGACCGTACTTAAAGAGCCACGAGCACGAGCATAAACACGGGATAGTGCACAAAGAATGGAAACGTGTTGGTTTAAAAAAAAAACAAAAAACAAAAAACACAACAAAAAGACCATGAGGCGATAGTCTCGTGTCTGGAGTATCCCTGCTCCACGAGGTGCCACTCGAGGGGTAGGAACGGCCGAGCCCCGCTCCGCTCTGCCCTCCCCACGCAGGACGGCCCTCGGGGCCAGCCCGGTGCTGAGGGAATGGAGGGAGGGCGGTGCCGCCTCAGCCCTTCCCGCCCAAGATGGCGGTGGCCCCGCCCCGCCGGGCGGTGTCCTGCAGGCCGTCCCCCGGCGCGGGGTGTATGACCGCGGCCGTGCGGGGAGCGGGGCAGGCGGCGGCCGGAGCGGGGTGTACTGGGTGAGGAGCGCGGGCTGGCCGTGTTACGGGCGGGGGGGGGGCTCGGTCCGGCCGGGGGAGCGAGAGGGAAACTTTCTTCACGGAGCCCTTCTCCGCCGGGGCTCCGGCCGCTTTCCTGCGGCCATGTTGGGAGCTGGGGGCTGCCTGGCGAGATGGAGCTTCTCCGGCGAGAGGCGGCGTCGAGCTCCGCTGTCCCGCTGCGGGGCTGGGGCAGCGCCGCGTCCCGCCGGGAGGGAGGGAGGCAGCGGAGCGGGAAGGATCTGGGGAAGGAAGCGGCGGTGGCGGGCGCTGGCTTGTCCCAGGGCGTTGAGGGACTTGGGGGCCTCGGAAGCGACTTTGACTTCGGGAAGGGGGAGAAACAGCGGCGGCGGCCCCGCGGCGTTACGTAAGTGCCCGAAACTCCCCGACTCGTGACTCCGCCGGGGCGCCGTGAGGCGGCGGGACGGGACGGGACGGGACGGGCGGGCGAGCGGGCGGGTGGAGGGCGCTTCCTGCCCCGGCGGGGCCGCCCTCCGTCTGAGCGTTCGCTCGCCCCGTGAAACTCCTCGTCGTCCTCGGAGCGAGTCGCCTGGGAAGTCTTGATGCTGTGGTAAAAAAACCAGCGGAACCGCGAGTGTTGGCGGCTGCGAGCATAAGGTGCTATTTTTTTTTTCTTGTGAAATTCGCATATTTTGTATTTTGGAGGAGAATGTGACTGGTCTGCCAGAGATACGTGTGGCACATAAGCTGTTGTCTGAAAGCAGCTCGGGAGAAGACAGCCGCGTGTTTTTCCTCTCGCCTCGCTTGAAATACTTACGTGCATAGGCACCGGTATTTATAAAAGGCAAAACTGCTCATCACGGCAAGAAAGTGATGGGTGAGTCTGCTGAGCAGCGCGTCCTGGCATCGACTTTGTCCCTGCTAAGGGAAACAGCTGTAACTCGAGTTTTGACATGAAGCATCAGTACAATAGTTGTTGATAACCAAAACGACCTGTTGTATCCTTAACCAGAGATCAAGGACCGTCTTTTGGCTGAATTGATGCAAGTGGTTCCAAAAGCATCATTAAGTTCTAACTCAGGTTGTGCTGAGAGTTACTGTAAGTGTTAATGTGTATCTGAGAAACACCGTATCTGAGGCTGCGATGTGCCTAACAGTTTAAGTTCAGATGAGGTTAGTACAGTAAGCAAAGTTGAGTCTAAACTCAAACCCACAACACAGGAATCTGTTTCAGAACTGAGATTGCAAATTCCTCTTTCTCTTGAAATAAGAAGACTTTAAATACTCAGATCTCAAGTTACTTGTATATTGAACTATTTTAGAGATGGCTGTCTGAAAGAAGGGAAGTACTTAAAAACGGCAGTGCAATCAGTGCTGAGATCCTACGGATTAATTGCTTTGTATGCAGCCATCGACATGCAGAATGGAATTGATTCTTTAGCTCAGAAGGCAGTTTTTAACCTTGATAATCTAAATACTTTTAACTAATCTCGTGGGAGATAAGAGTTCCTGTGTTGTTAAATGTGTTGTATATCAGCTGAGTTTGTTAAATAATATTTTCCCAAGTGTTTTAGTGCCATGCCAAGTGTGTTAAAAACAATAGTGAAAGCGAAGTGTTGTGAGCCTGAGTCCCAAATTCTTACTTCTGAATGCAGGTTGGATCTGTGCCTTTTGGAGTGTCTTGAGTTTTACTCTGCATGGAAACCCATATAGAGGAAGTCCCTAAAACGATAAATAAAAGCCTGTGAATAGAAATTTGGAGCTGGAAAAGCTGGTTCAGTTTCCTCTGTTGTATTCTCTAGAAAGAGAGAGAGTAGCATCTTTTCACCTAGAAGCAAGTTTTCACTAGATGCAGTGTTCAGCAAGATCTCCATTCTATTTCCCTTAAATCATGGTCTGAGCCTTAACTGTAGTAATTAGACGTGTCTCTGGCCTAAAAGAAGATCTTTCCATAGTATCATAAAGCCCTTTAGTTTACAAAAATTATTATTGTCAAAATGGTTGTTATACTCAAAAGGTAGGATGACTTTTAGGTTTCACTGTTGAGGTTGGTGGGTGCAGGAAGGCTTCAGAGCAGTGAAGAGATGGAACTGCAATCTCAGGTGAGGTGTGATATGATATAGCTTGGCTCATCTTGTTTATCTTCCTAAAAGCCCTGTGAGATCAATAAAGGCAGGGTACAAACACTGGTTTCGTACCCTTGCAGCATTTTTGGGGGCTTGCCTTCACCAGAGAGGACTAGAGGTGTTAAAGGGAAAGCTTAGGGTCAAAGCATGGCACATAGCTGAGGTAGCGTTGAAGTGTTTAGCACTTACAGATACCTTTCCAGAAAATTAGATCTGCAAGAAAATGTTGGAATTGGTGTCCAAGCAAACAAATGGCATGCAAGTTTTTGTTCTTAAAGGGCATTTATTAGCAGGGGGTGTCAAATAAGGACACACCAGTGTTAACAGTGGATACGATTCTTAGGTGGTGGTAGGTAAGGAAGTTAAATTCTTGATTTTTGAATTAAGAAATGAAACCTTATTCTGTACAACCTCAGATCCTAAAGGTACATTGGGACTTATTCCAAGCTCTGTTAATATTTAAGCTTACTTTTGCATTTAGTTTATGTAATTTTTAAAAAAGTTACAGATGTATATTTTAAACTTTGAAGAAGTCAGTAGTTGAATGAAGCTTGATAATCTGGGGATTGTTCCAAAAGAGAAAACATAAGGGCAAATACAGGGTTTTGAAATAGAAACATGTATTTAAAACTTTCTCCCTATGCAGCAAATGCCAAGTTTGCTGTTGTACAATAACTTTTGTCTCCATGGTTCAGCAGAGGACTTGTTCTTACAGTTCGGGGGGGGGTGAAAAACTGCTCTGCAGATAGGTGTGGTAGAACCTGTTTACAATGCTGAAGATTATTGTTATCAAAGTTACAAAATGTGGTGACAACTGTGTTAGCAAGTAGTGTCCTGCAAATTCTGGGCCACATAATCAGTGCTGTTGAAATACATTGTCTGCTCACTTGAGAAGTGGCTTGACTGAGAGTTGTGGGACAAAGATTCTCCTTTTACGAAAATAAATGTTATAGTGCAGAAGTACTATTGAACAGAAGAATATTTCATGTTTTTCAGCTTGCTACTTTAATACTACACAGTCAAAAATGAACTCATATATTTACTTTAGTTGCATAAATAGATAAGAGTGCTGCTGCCTTAGACATAATGATGTGGGGCTTCAGTGTTTTGGTTTTGTTGGCTTTTTGTTTAAGCCTCTTAGTAATTGTAAATAATTCAAGGATTTTAAAAATTAAGTGGAAGGGAGTGGCTCTCTATTTTTTTTTTTCCTCTTTGCATCATTTGTGCTTTACAATAAAACAATGTTAAGCATATTGTGTATGTAATTTAGCAGGATTTTGGCATTTTGTCTAAGTGTAAAAGAAGAATAAACAGTTGAAAGTTAAGGATTTCAAATACAAGAATGTTCTCGTTGCATCCTCCCCTCCCAATACCTGGAGGTAGTAAGATGCCATGCAAGCAGTTAGTTACTGTGTTGAGAGGCAATCTATTGAGAAGTTTTACTGACTCAAACAAATACAGGGGGGTCGGTAGAGATTGATGTATATGATCTTTTTATCAGCAGCTTAAGCTTTCATTAAATGCTTCTTGTATCTCAAACATATCATCTAAAGGTAACCGTTTTGCTTTTAAGTACTTAGTATGCCTTCTGAAAAAGGAAAAGTTACAGCATGTTCTTTGACATTTGCATTTCTGAAGTGTACACATAATTTGTTAATGGAAATTAACAGTGGATTGTACACGCAGCCGTTCGGGTTGTCAGCATCTTTTTTGGAATGGTGAGCTGTGCAGGTTAACTTCAGTGCAAACCTTTGTGTACTGGATAGTCTGTACTCCGAGTGCTTTCCATGTAACTAAAATGCATCAGAAACATTTGACAAGCAGTAAAAGGGAAAAGGGCCAGTGAGTGCATTTCCCAAGAAGGCATCTACAGTAAGCTGCTGTGATTACTAGATTCTTTCAGGAAATGACTCCTTACTTTTTTAACCTTCTGCTTTAAATTTCTCCTGACTTAGCTGTCAATACTTAGTAATGTAAATCTTCTGAGAGTGATTTTGGGTGTACTTCTGTTCTGAAAGCTGTGTGTGACAGTGATTTCCCGCTCCCCCGCTCTGATCTAGGTTAACAGCATGGAGGCAAGTGAACTGCCCTTTTAACACCCAGAGTATGGTTAAAAAACTGGTTACATTGAAGACTGACATTTTATTTATGGTATCATTGTTAAAGCTTTCCTTTTGGCTTTTGTTACTAGCTGTCAGATGTCAGTTTTCTAGGCCTTTACCGCTCACCCATGTGTCAGTAGGTAGCAGCATTTGATCTAAAAAAGGGATTATGTCCCTTGCTCAGAAAGAGAATTCAACACTTGGTTTATTGCCTTATGTGTTTTTAAATAATGCTGGATAAATAAATTTTAAATATTTCTGAGGCTTGACAGTGAGAGGTCCATGCTTGCAGCACTGCAGTAGTCTTGTCAAGCTTCCTGAAAATCACATGGCTGAATTTCAAGCCCCAAATTGTGTTTCAGCTGCCTGTGAGCCCCTGGTTCTGCTGGGCTGGGGGTTTCATCCTGGTGCCAGTCCTGCTGTGCACATGGTTACTGGGGCATGAACCTTTTTTGGTACCAACTCGAGCAACTTCTTTCAGCAGGTTTAAATGGTAGGAAAAAGATTCCCTACAGCCAGCCATGTTTGCCCTTAGTCTATTATTACTTGTGAACTAATGGTAGAAATTATTTGGATTTTTTTTTTTTTATTAAGGAGTTAAGAATTTTAAGGGGGTCAATATGTCTGTATATTTTCTTTTTCTTACTACAATATTGAAAATGTGCTCCAGCAGTGTTTTGTCTGACCCTGTTGGGTAGTGACCAGCTGCCTGGCCTCCTGAAAGTATTTCTACAGTATAATATAGTATTAGGGTTGCCCCCTAAAGTGGAGATTTCTTAACTTATGTAGGCCAGGAGAAGGAGGTTGAGTGTTGTTACTTGGCTTGTATCTTGTTTAGTTTTGTAGAAATGCTTAGAATTACTGAACTGGTGAAAGAAACCTCTTTCTTGTGCAGCTTCTTTTCCTAGAACACAATATCTGAACTTAAAAGAGCACATGCACGAGAAAAAAAAAATATATAATAATAATGAAATAGCAATGATGTGGTTATGGTGCTGTGCTTGTAAATTGTGAAACTCCATGTGAAAACTTTGCTCTGTTTCAAACATGGCCCCTAGAAGTGAAAGTCCTTTTGTGTTGCAGTTGTTTGTTGGGAGTTAATGGCTCTGACTTTTGCCTAGCTTTGACTATTTGGTAACTCTCTAGCTTGGTCATGCTATAATTGTTTACTTATAGTC